CAGTGCACAAAGGTAGGGTTATTGTAGGATCCCACCTTTGTCACTGCAAGACAAGAACGTATTTCTAACTGACCTTCTGTGTAAATACCAATCTTGTCACTTCCTTGTCGTTGTTGTACACCTTCCAGTCTTTTCTGGTTTGTAGTGGCTGTAAGATGAACTTATCGTGTTTGTTTTTTTACATGATTTTTTTTGTATGATTGAGAACCGGCAAGGAGCTTCTGGTGTGAGATAATTGGCCGCCTGCAGGGAAGTTGCCCAGGGGACGCCAGGATGTTTTACCATCCTGTGGGAGGCTAATCTCATGTCCCAAGATTGGTATAGAGGAAAGTTTAGCATCTAGCAGAGCCAGATTTCAACCCAGGTCTCCCAGAATCCTACTACGAGGGTTGAATGAAAAGTAATGCCTCCACCTTCGTAACTCCTCAACAGGTGGCAGTACTGGTATGTGGCAGGTACTGGCTTGTTTAGTAGACTCTCCTCTACAGTTCCATTTTGGTGGGAAGCCTTAGCATTCAACAATTGTGTTCTTAAAGTGTAGACTATGGAACCCTGTGCAGATGGTCAGTCAATGTGACTTAAGCAATGTGCAGTCATTGAATTCTTGACAGCAGAAGGTGTCACCTCAAAGGAGATTCATCAAAGAATGCAAGCTGTTTATGGGGATTGTGTTGATGTGAGTACTGTGTATCGTTGGGCGAGTAAGTTTAAAGATGTTGAGGTGGGAACATCTGACTTGCATGACTAACAACCGCCGTTTCACAAGCAAAAGATTAACAGATTAATTCAGGATGATCGTCGTATCACTCAGAGATAAATTTTAAGCATAATCGGAATTTCACAAGAACGTGTGGGTCACATTATCGCTTTGCTTGGCTATCAGAAGATCTGTGCATAATGGGTTGCGGAAACAGAGTGTCGACTTCTTCTGTGACGGCTTCAGGAAACTTGTTTATTGTTGACAGAAATGTATCCAATTGTCTGGTGATTATGTCGAAAAGTGAATCATGGCAGTCAAAGAGCACATTCTAAGGATTATTTCTGTGTTTGATTTATTAAAATATTCCCATCCAAACCCAAGTAACGAAGGTGGAAGCATTACTCTTCATTCAACCCTCGTACGACACTTAAACCATTGCAAAATTCTGGTTCCTTGCCATAGTCTTTGCCCACAGAAAAATTATAATGGACAGAAATGTTGTAACTGGCACTGAAGGGGAAAGGTTCACATGTCAAAAGGGCAAGCTTACAAGTAATAGGAGTCTCCACTATTGTAAGTACTAGTTTTATATATCATTTCTGTGTACACAATGGATCTTGTTTGACCAGTCATGCTAGCTCTGTATCGTTTTTGTTTCTTTTAACAAACTTGTAATTTATTTTACATCTATTTTAAAGAAATCCAGAGACAAGATTCAAAGTAAAACCTCAAGAAAGGGGAGTAAGCCCATTACAAAGCATGCAGCCTATAATCTCATCATAAACAGAAAGAACAACACAATAAAACTAGCTATAACCAATCACCCATGAAAGGTTTTGAGGTCGGGATGGGAGTGGGAGGCAACAATGGCTCCATGCTTACAGCAGTGTAAATACATTATTTGAACATCTCTTCATGTATTTCCTACTGAGATATTCTGTTTGTTTTCCTTTTTTTTTTTGATACTGGATAAGAAGAGAACCTCATACAGGCTTTCGGTCACAAGTAGGAAGAAGAAAGGGCAGTGCATTGCTTGTTTCTACATTTATAGTGTACATATACATGGCAGGTTACCTTTGCTTATATACCTTAAAGGCCCCAGGTCCTATCTCATCTCAGAAGCAGTTTCTTAAGTCGCTCTTGACATGAAAGAGAGAGAGAGAGAGAGAGAGAGAGAATGTGATGCAAGAACTGGCAAGTCTTGGTGTAATTTTTTTCACCTCTTTCCATAGATGGATTCCTGCTCTTCCAGCAAGTGCCCATGGTTGAAATTGATGGGATGAGGCTCGTGGAAACCCGGGCCATTCTGAACTACATTGCTGCAAAGCATAACCTTTATGGGAGGGATATGAAGGAGAGAGCAATGTACTGTGATCTTTTTATTTATCATTTATAGTTTACTGTGAACACTAAGGGACAAGACAAGGTTGCCTGAAAAGTGCCCTCAGGATGCACAGTGAACCTTAGCATAAATCTACACTGTCTAATTCATGCAGTTTGACTCCACTTTAACTGCCATGGGTTAATGCTATGGAATAATTGGAATTGTAGTTTAACAAGCAAGGTCTTTCATCTTCTCTTGCAAAGTGTGTGGGTGGCTTAACAGAATACAAATTCCAGGATCCCATATCATTGAGACAAGGCAAATAAAGTGGGGTCAAACTGCATTAATTCCACAGTGCAGGGTGCCAAGCAGGGATGAAAGGTTGGTTTTTTCAGCTGGAATCCAATTTGGGAAGAGTCTCAGGACTACATTTCAGGAGCAGAGGGGGTTAAGGCCAGTTTATGTAGTGCATAGAAATGTGGACAATCTTTTCATTGTATATATAAAGCACATGCTTTTGAACATTTCACAGATGAAAACTGTAGATAAGAAAACTCAAAGTGTGGTCAAGACAGCAAACATTATTGATGAGGAAGAACACTCATGCTAGGAAAGACTGCAGCAGCTTGCATTTTCCATGACTCCAAGGAAGGGAAATATTCCCTCATCTCCTCTACTCTTTCTCTACTGAGTTAATTGAGTGCTACTTCTGCACTTTGAATTCAATGTATTGTCGAAGGCTTTCATGGCTGGAATCACTGGGTTGTTGTGGGTTTTTCGGGCTGTATGGCTATGTTATAGAAGCATTCTCTCCTGACGTTTTGCCTGTATCTGTGGCAGACATCCTCAGAGGTTGTGAGGTCTGTTGGAAACATGGCCATACGGCCTGAAAAACCTACAACAGCCCACTTTGAATTCAGTTTGCAGCAATTGAAGTGAGCTGATGACATTGAAGTAAAGTGGTAGAAGGGGAAAGACACTGGCATACTTTAAAAGCAGGTGCAGATTGGAATGACGGAGAATTAAGACTGTCCCTGCCAAACGGAGATGATGTTGTTGTTCATTCGTTCAGTCACTTCTGACTCTTTGTGACCTCATGGACCAGCCCATGCTAGAGCTCCCTGTCAGCCATCACCATCCCCAGCTCCTTCAGGATCAAGTCTGTCACTTCAAGGATGCCACCCATCCATCTTGCCCTTGGTCGGCCCCTCTTCCTTTTTCCTTCCATTTTCCCCAGAATCATTATCTTCTCTAAGCTTTCCTGTCTTCTCATGATGTGGCCAATACTTCATCTTTGCCTCTAATATCCTTCCCTCCAATGAGCAGTCAGGCTTTATTTCCTGAAGTATGTACTGGTTGGATCTTCTCGCTGTCCAAAGCACTCTCAGAACTTTCCTCCAACACCAGTTCCAAAAGCATCTATCTTCCTTCCTTCACTCAGCCTTCCCTAAGGTCCAGCTCTCGCATCCATAGGTGACTATGGGGAATACCATTGCTTTAACTATGCGGATATTTGTTGCCAGTGTGATGTCTCTACTCTTCACTATTTTATCGAGATTGGTCATTGCTCTCCTCCCAAGAAGTAAATGTCTCCTGATTTCCTGACTGCAGCCTGCGTCTGCAGTCATCTTTGCACCTAGAAATACAAAGTCTGTCACTGCTTCCATGTTTTCTCCCTCTATTTGCCAGTTCTCAATCAGTCTGATTGCCATAATCTTGGTTTTTATCATGTTTAACTACAACCCAGCTTTTGCACTTTCTTCTTTCACCTTGGTTAGAAGGCTCCTCAGTCCCTCCTTGCTTTTGACCATCAAAGTGGCATCATCTGCATATCTAAGGTTGTTAATGTTTCCTCAATTTTAACTCCAGCCTTGGATTCATCAAGTCCCACACATTGCATGTTGTGTTCTGCATACAAGTTGAATAGGTTGGGTGAGAGTATACAACCTTGCCATATGCCTTTCCCAATCTTGAACCAGTCTGTTGTTCCATGGTCACTTCTGACTGTTGCTACTTAGTCCTTATACAGATTCCTCAGGACAAAAACAAGGTGACTTGAGATCCCCATAGGCTTTAAAATAGCCAATAAAACAGAGATGATATGAAAGTCCATTCTATGCATATCTCGATGTAACAATTTTGAGGAACATAAAGCAGAGTCCGGCTTGCTGGATCTCAGTTATAAAGGTATTTAAGAGTGCAAATAGTTTTAAATTACATTCTAGCTCTGATCTCTTATTGAAGATAACAAGAGAACACAGATAACAAAAGAATTTCCCTCTCCTGTGCAAAAGGAAGTATGCAAGAGGAAAAAGTTTGAATATAGGGCAACATCCCTTTGTACAACGTTCTGAAATCTGAAATACAGTATTCCCAGATTGTCCACATGGGTGGACAATTATAATGCCACCTTTACTTTCTGATGGTCCAACGTACAGAAATGTTGATTCATTCACCAAAATTACTTTTAGTCTATATAAGGTATATATGAAATGTAAATTAATTTTAACTTGGGTCCCATCCCCAAAGAACTCATTATGAGTTTATGATAATATTCCAAAATCCAAAATATTGGACACGTCTGATCCCAAGTATTTTGGATAAAGTGTTCTCAGCCTATGCTGTGTGTGTAGTCTGGCTAGACACTACACAAGTATAGAGATATGATTTTACTTTAACTTTCTATGTCAATATCCTATGGAGTCCAATGATTTGAATGTTAAAGAGCAGCATCTAGAATTCTCTGCCAGAGCCAAACTATAAATCCAGGATTCCCTAGAATAATACCATGTTAGAATATAGGACTATAATGATGAGATGTGAAAGGGCCCAGTAAAAAGGGCAAAGCTGAGCAGAAGCGAAAATGCTTCCTTATTACCATATATAAATATTTAATAATGGAAGAGCTTTAGGTGTATTTACACTACAGAATTAGTGCAGTTTGACACTATTCTAATTCTCATGGTTCAGTGTTATGTAATCATGGGAGTTGTAGTTTTACAGGGTATTTAGCCTTCTCTGCCAAAGAACGCTAGTGCCCAATTACATTACAAATCCCAAGATATCATAGCATTGAGCCATGGCAGTTAAAGTGGTTTCAAACTGCATAAATTCTACAATGTTTAGATGCATGTTCTCTTTCCTATCAGGCTATTCTATATTAATAAAAACCCCAATGCAGATGAGATAACTACTTCCTAAGGTAAGGAAGTGAAATTAGGCTAATTCTGTTTTTCTCTCCTCCAGAATTGATATGTATGTCGAAGGAACAACTGACCTGATGGCAATCATCAGAGTCCATTTCAAACTATCTCCAAAAGAAAAGGAGGAAAATCTTAAATTGATCATTGAGCGAGCCATGAAGAGATACTTCCCAGTTTATGAGAAGGTATGCAATACAAGCAGATGACAGTGTTCATTGAATGGGCTGGAAAGAAAAAGCAATTCATGTAGAATGTTTTGCTTGAGGCAGTAGCATTTTCACTTGGAGCTCTGAAGGGGAACCATTGGTCTGATAATAAATTAGAAAGAAAGAATACTCTTGAACTGTCCCATCCAACTTTTCCCACTGTTTCAGAAATATCCCTTTTCCTCTTTCTCCTCCCATCCATTATTGTGAACTGAGTGAACAGTGCAAAAGTAATTTGCACTCAGCATGAAGGAAAGGAAGTGAACAAATTTTGTTCTTCCCATTAGGCTCAGGCAAGAGTCAGTTCTGACTGACATCATGACACAATGGGGTACCTTGAGTGGTCTTGATAGCGGGACATTCACCCTGTAGCTATGCCTGTCATTATTTTAAACTGCCTCAAAAGGTTTGGCTGAAAGTAGACTTATTATGAAATAATGAATCAATAGAGGAATACAGGCAGCCCCCAAGTTACGAACAAGATAGGTTCTGAAGTTGAATTGATATCTAAGTCGGAACAGGTACATTTAAAAGTGTAGTTTCAGCCAAATATGTATATTTTTAAAGCTTTGGATAACATAGGGTAGGGTTAACGATGCTTGACTGATTGATTCATATTTCCAACCAATGACTTTCATTTTGTTTTAATTGTAGGTATAAATGTATTAATGTTGATTTGATGGCACTGACATGTTTGACAATTTTATGTTTTATGTTTGGAAGCTGCCCTGAGTCCATTTAGGGAGAGAGGGTGGGTTAAAAATAAACTATTATTATTATTATTATTATTATTATTATTATTATTGTCATCATCATCATGATCATCATCATCAACATCCCTGTGGGTTTTTTCCTGTCTGTGGCCTTGTTCAGAACACTTTCCGTCCCTGTGATAATTGGATTTTGAAAACTTGGCTTGTTGTGGAAACAAGGATTGGTGATAAAGCTTCAGTTGTTGTTGTTGTTGTTGTTGTTGTTGTCATTGTTTATTTGTTCAGTCGCTTCCAACTCTTTGTGACCTCATGGACCAGCCCATGCCAGAGCTCCCTGTCATCCATCACCACCCCCAGCTCCTTCAGAGTCAAACCAGTCACTTCAAGGATGCCATCCATCCATCTTGCCCTTGGTTGGCCCCTCTTCCTTTTTCCTTCCATTTTCCCCAGCATTATTGTCTTCTCCAAGCTTTCCTGTCTTCTCATTATGTGGCCAAAGTACTTCAACTTTGCCTCTAATATCCTTCCCTCCAATAAGCAGTCAGGCTTTCTTTCCTGAAGTATGAACTGGTTAGATCTTCTCGCAGTCCAAGGCACTCTCAGAGCTTTCCTCCAACACCACAGGTTCTTCACTCAGCCTTTCCTATGTTCCAGCTCTCACATCCCGTTGCCAGTGTGATTTCTCTATTCTTCACTATTTTTTCGAGATTGGTCATTGCTCTCCTCCCAAGAAGTAGACGTCTTCTGATTTTCTGGTTTCAGTGGAGACACCTTTTCCCCATGATAACTCTTCCAGGAGTGGACTTCCCTTCTGAAGGATAGCTTTCTCTCCTTTCCTGTTGTTTCACCCCTGTTCTTAACTATGAGTTGTTTGTAAATCAGATGTTTGTAATTCAGGGACTGACCATACTCCCAACAAAACCCCCTTTACCACTTCATTTGCATCTAATACATTTTTATCTCATAGGTTTTGAAAGACCATGGGCAACCTTTTCTTCTTGGTACCCAGTTCACTTGGGCAGATGTCCAATTGATTGAAGCTATTTTGATGACAGAAGAGAAGGAGCCTGGTATCCTCTCAGAGTTTCCTTTCCTACAGGTAAAAGAAGGATCGGGGAAACACTGCATGTGATAGTGCTAATAATAATAATAAAAAACTCCATACCAGGCGAATAGCAATTTGATTAGCATTCTTCAGAATATAGAAACTGCCAATAGGAAGCTGACACCCCTGAGAACAAGGAAGTGTGTTAAACTCAAGAGCATAGGATTTCCAGTTTAAGTTACACGGAAAGTCAGAAGGGTTTCCACAGCCTGTTTTATGCCTGTGGTTCTTTTAAGGTTTCTGCCCAATAGTTCTACAAAGAAACGCCTCTGCTGGAATGCGTCTACACTGCAGAATAATTAATGCAGTTTGACGCCACTTTCACTATTATGGCTCAATGCTGTTGAATCCTGGAATGTGTAGTTTGGTGAGATACAAAGCCTGGACACACTTTGTAAAACTATACTTACCATGATTCCATAACATGGCAGATTGTATTATTTCTACAAGTTAAAAAGGAAAGTTGTACCCCAAAGGAATGGGATTTCATCTTACGACTTGTAACTAAGATCTTAAATCATGAGTTAATTAACAATAATTAAAGTAATTAAGCAACTTCAGTAACTAGTGTTTGTGGAGGTGAACCATTTCTCCAGTTTCTAAACTCTAGCATTTTGAACACAGTACATAGGTCAATACATAGGCTTTGACTGGAGGCAGGGTTATCATGAAATGCACTTGCATTTCAGAATTTTGCATTCCTCCAGTGGACATGAATTTGCTTGTCTTCAAGATTTGAATTAGGCCAAAGTATTTTCCCTTGTTGTTTTGAAATCCCAGAGTGATAATTTGTCGTTGAGATTGCAATCCGCATTCTCACAAAACAGAACAAACTTCATTCCTGAAGATTTGAGACCTATTCAGCTTTCAAATCACTTTAGCTTTGTAATGTTGACTTTCCTTTTTAGTTTGCAAGCTAAACGTTTTGCCATGAATATTTTATAGCTTTCCTCCTTTTATGCCTTTAAGCCAGTATTTGTGGTGTCTCCACAATTAAGAATATTCTGCACAATTAAGAACACCATAGCAGCTGTAAGGAGGGTTTAAAAAATAAAATAGAATGTATATAAAAAATTAATAACATTAGTAATTTGATGCACATTTTCCAAATATTCCAGCTACAGATATTGCCAATTAAGAACTGATGCATATGAGAACAAGGAGATATATTAAGGAACCGCAAAAGCACTCTTCTAAAAGCTAGGATTTTCATCTTAGGGCCCTTCCACACAGCCATATAGCCCAGAACATCAAGGTAGAAGATCCCACAATATCTGCTTTGAACTGGGTTATTTAAGTCCACACTGGAATATATTCCAGGTCAAAGCAGATAATGTGGGGTTGTATTTAGCTGTGTGGGAGGGGCCTTAGATGAGAACCAGAAATCATGTTGAATATGATTAACTCATATAATGTTGATGTCGCCTATTACAAGAGTGTATTGTATCCATGTAAGAAAAAAATTACTAAATCAGACCACAGGGGGCCCTTCCACACAGCCATATATCCCAGAATATCAAGGCAGAAAATCCCACAATATCTGCTTTGAACTGGGTTATCTGAGTCCTCACCCAGATAATGTGGGATTTTCTGCCTTGATATTCTGGGATAGAGGGCTATGTGGAATGGTCCAAAGATATTGAGTGCCATCTGGCTTTTGTTGCCTAGGTTCAATATCATTTAAACTCATTGTTTGCCTTTTAAGGTGCCTGCTGTACTAATTGTCTAGATTTTAATTTAAAAAGACATTTTAAAGTGTCTGATATGTATAGACCATAAAGATATTGAATTGACGTCGTCATGGACTATACATGTCGGGTATTTTAACATGTCTTTTAGAAATGCAAATCTGACATGGGAATCTGAGGCCGCTTCTACACGGCCATATAATCCAGATTATCAAATCAAATAATCCACATTATCTGCTTTGAACTAGGTTATATGAGTCTATACAACCATATATTCCAGTTCATTTTATGGCAGTATAGATGGGACTTAGGAACTGAAGAAATATGATATGATTGGGTCTCTAGACACCTGTGTATCATGCAAATGTGAGTAGATCAATAGGTACCGTTCCGGCGGGAAGGTAACGCACTCCATGTAGTCATGCTGGCCACATGACCTTGGAGGTGTCTATGGACAACACTGGCTCTTTGGCTTAGAAGTGGGGATGAGCACCACACCCCAGAGTCGGACACGACTGGACTTAATGTCAGGGAAAAACCTTTACCTTTCCTATACACACACACACACACACACACACACACACACACACACAGATGAACTAGCCAGAGGATTCATATTGGAATCCTAATATTCCTAGTTGGATTCACTCAATCGGTGTTGTAGAAAAGCTGTTGTTTATACGTCTTTGTTATTGGAATTTCCTCATTAACAGAATGAAGATTACCCTTCTCCAGCTTTCATATTCCCTCCATCTGAGCTGGAATTATCACAGTAACTGGCATAGAAAGCTTAGAAGCAATTCATTGTTTTGAACATTTTTGTTAATGCAAAATATTTTGTATCTGCTTGATTCGAAATGCATGTTTAACATCCAACTGCTTCATAAAAGACCTGCTCCTGACATTGAGAACTGCTACAACAAGTTGATCTGGGTTGATCTGGGTCAGTGTGCCACAATTTCCATACTCGTATGGAAGATGTCGCTATGGAAAATCATTCAAAGTCATCTTAGTATTGACATTTTTAGTTTCATTTTCAGGTTATTTTGTTTCTTGTTTCAGGCCTTTAAAGCAAGGATGTGTGAAGTTCCTACGATTAAGACGTTCCTCCAGCCTGGCAGTCAAAGGAAACCTCCACCTGATGAAAAGTTACTGCAAACAGCAAATCGAGTTTTCAATAGGAAGTAAAAACAGAAGATGTGTTAAAGCCTATTAGAGAAGTAGTAGTTCTGTACATCTCTAAAAATATCTCTTAGCATTGAAGGGTTGTATCTAAATACTAGTTTCCTATGATTTAACTGATAAACATTTATAATAATTGTCTATCCAAACTTTTTTTTACACTTTGCAGCTGTGTTTCCCAACCGACCTAATGCCACGACCCCTTAATAGAGTTCCTCATGTTGTGGTGACCCTCAACCATCAAATTATTTTCGTTGCTGCTTCATAACTGTAATTTTGCTACTGTTGTGAATTGTAATGTCAATATCTTATATGAAGGATGCATTTTTATTCACTGAACCAAATTTGGTGCAAATACCCGATGCGCCCAAATTTGAATACTGGTGGAGTTGGGGTGGTTGATTTTGTCATTTGGGAGTTGTAGTTGCTGGGATTTAGAGTTCACCTACAATCAAAGAGCATTCTGAACCCCACCAACGATAGAATTGGGCCAAACTTCCCACGCAGAACCCCCATGACCAACAGAAAATACTGGAGGGATTTGGGAGGAATTGACAATGATTTAGAAGACAACACACCTGCTCTCCCTTCCCTGCTTGGAGCCTCTGAAACACCTAAAGCCCTCCTCCTGCTGTGATTGGCTGAGAGGCTGGCCAATCACCCAGGAGGAGGGCTTTTGGTGTTTCCAAAGAGGAAGAGAAGGACAAGGGGAGAGATCTTCAGCCTTCTCTGCCAAAGATAATCAGAAATATATGTTTTATGATAGTCTTTGGCAACCCCTCTGAAACCCCCCTCGTGACTCCCCCAGGGGTCCCAACCTTAAGTTGAGAAATGCTGCTCTACAGGCTATCCCCAAGCTATGAACAAGATGAGGTCTGTAGCTTTGTTCTTGGGTTAAATTTATAAGCCAGAGCAGGTGCTTTTAAAGGTGTAACTCCATATGTGTGTGTGTGTGTGTACACATATATACACACATACACATATACAGACACACACACACTTTGGATAACACAGAGTTGACATCCTTGGGGACTTTTTTTTTTTTTTGCAGTCTGTCCCCCTGTTCAGAGGATTTCACCTCACTTTCTTTCCCTGTGATAATTGGATTTTGAAATATTTGGCTTGCTATTGGTGAGAAAGCTTCAATGGAGAGAACCTTTCCCCATGATAACTCTTCCAGGAGTGAATTTCCTTCTGAAGGTTAGATTTCTTTCACTTCCTGTCATCTCACTCCTGCTTGTAACTATGCATCATTTGCAAGTTGGATGTTTGTTACTCGGGGACTGCCTGTGTATAAGAAAACAAACATCCAAATATATATTGGGGAAATACATGAGAAATCTGATACTTAACAATAAAAATGAATAAGAATCAATATTTTGTTTACTGCTCCATGTATATCGGCAGCTCTATTTCTAATATTTTGCTCCAATATAGGTTTGAAATATTAAAGGCGGTTTGTAACAAAAACAAATTCAATTCCTTTTACTTTCAAAAGTGCCATTAAAAATGTCAAAAATTAGAAGAATAAGAAAATATAAGTACTGTAGTATCATAACAAAGAATAGAAACAATAAAGTACTGAAGTACATGGCATGATGAAACAGATGAGAAACTGGCAAATAATTCAGGAAAATAGACGAATTTTTTTATTTTTGTTCTTCTCCATCCAACTGGCATTTATGTTACACACATTGCAACAGAACACGGATGAGTAATTGATGAGGAGTATACAGCAGCATTTTAAGGGTATTTTTGTTCTTCCCCATACAACTGGCATCCATGTTACACACATTGCAACAGAACATGGGTGAATAAGGGATGTGGAGCATACAGTGGCAGAAAGATTACAACATGCAAATATTTTTCAACCACTAGAGCAATTGCCTGGCGACTCAGGTTAACCCGTGATGTGTCAATGGGTTTGGTCCTGTGTAGAAGGGCCCTCATATAATACTGATTGAACTTCATTGAATTGGATTATATGAGTCTACACTGCTTATAATCCAATTCAATCCCCATTATAATGGCAGCGTGAATGGGGTCGATGTCTTACTTACTTTTCTGTAAAAGAATGAAAATTTACCCATTTGTATCTTAAAAATATTAAACTTCCCACCCACTGGGACATCGGAAAACAAAACTCATGTGCAAATGAAGCTGGACGCATGGAACAATAGTGTTTCGAAAATATCTCTGCAGAATATCCACCCAAAGAAAATGCTTATATGCTTATACAACAGACAAGCAAGCAAAATAGTGCCAGGAAAGAACTGCAAAATTGTGCAATTGAATATAAATAAATAAATAAATAAATAAATAAATAAATAAATAAATAAATGGTAAATGAAACAAAAGAAGCAATTCATGGCAACACCGCTGGATGTTCTCTCTGTCTAGTCACTGGAAGTTGAAGCTTGGAACAGGGAAGTGGAGTGGAGAAAAGTTACGTTCACTCCACCACATAGATTTACAAAGTATTGTGGCAGCAGCACTAGTTATTTATTGTACCACTCCCAACACTGGATTTAAGTGTCTTCAGAATCCTATTCATGGATTTCTATTGTGAATTAAAAGTTACAGCCATATAATGGAGGGAATGCCACTGGTATGGCATTATTTTGTGCAATAAGCAGCACAATCACACACTGTTAAAACAATCACTAAAGTGTGCTTCAACCTTCATGCAAAAATGTTCAAAAATCTATTTTTTAAGATATTTAAGATAACTACACTTTCCCAGTTTATTCCTTTCACTGTTATAGATTCTCTTTATTGTACAATTATTTCCTTATTGTATAAAAGACTTCCAATGTTATTATTTTTTTCCAATTACTATTTAAGTCTCCAGCTACATTTACCAAAGTGCTGACAATATTGATTTGTTAACTTGGATTGCCATACCTTTAGTTATGACATTGTGTGCTGTATTCAAATTGACAAAAATTGTCACTTACAGTAATCGTCAGAGTACTATTGGTCCCTGCACCCCAAAACAAAGTTTGGTAACATATCCTAATGCGAAAAGTTTGAGAATGGTAAAACCCATGTTTCTTAGTCCATCCATATTTATTATGCTGGAAGGAATAGAGAGATTTACATGAACTTGGGAAACCCAAAAGTGTGTTACTGTGCTACTGTGAAGTAGTAGCATTAAAACACTAAATGGCGGATTCTCATGAGAAGGACTCAAATCTTAAAATCACCTAATTCTTCTCGTTAAACAGGTGGGGAATATGGCTAAAATGGGACAATATATGAGTTTAGAAGATGGTCTATATGAGATGGTGTGCTAAACAGAAGGCATGATCTGCATTTTGAAGACATTTTTAGATGGATCTTGTGATAAGAACTATGTAGGCATGTTTTCCTTTCATCTAAGACAGGTTTGGTCATCCCTGAACACACTTTTAGACACACTTTTAGACCACCTTCAGGTTATCTGGGAATGGTAGCTATCAGACCATGGCATCTGATACATTAGCCAAAGAAAGCCCTCCTTCCATTATATCCCAAAAACTTTTCCCAACCCGCAACCTCTCATGCAAAGTGGAGTCCATGACATGCAAGTGCGGAGAAGAGCAAACCACTGTAGTGCAACCTGAGCCCTGCAAGATACACAATGGAGGACCTTCTTACAGCGACACCAGAGGCACTCCAAGTGGCCAGTTTCTGGTTAAAGCACATTTAGCATAATGTCAAGTTCTTAACTTTGTTTGTGGTTTTTTTTTTGAAATACATTATAACTGTATTCTCAATTCTGTTCTGACAAGATAAATAACTCCATGAAAAATTGACGGTTTTACACAATAGCTTTCACCAAATTCACGGTTGACTGTTTTACTACATGTCCAAGGGTCTGTTATAGTACATTTTCCTTTAAATATTAGTAAGCACAGCCATTTCAAATGCAAAAAACAGATTTGAAAAATACATAAGCCAGACAGGGAAGACAGTCAGAGGGAGAGGTAGTCGGAGTCTTCCCCAAAGTAGGTGGAGTTTCCTGCATTACAAAAGTCTGAGGCACTGTTCTTGCAGACACGAGGGAAGGTATCTTGAGCCTTGCAGAAGGTGAGTATGGCAGAACAGATATTTTCTTCAACCACTAAATGCTTTGAATTCTGCTGGTGTAGGAAGAACGGATTAATTATAAACAAAACTGCTGGTCACAACAGAAACAATATATAATTTTTGCTGATTTCAGGTTTACAATCCTTGCTGTGTATTTGTAGATCTTTGACAGATGAAAGAAGATCATCTGTGAAAGATCTACAAATACACCGCATGTCAAAGCCAGCCAAGTAGGCAGAAGGCATAGAGTTGATTTGCCAAGGCAAAGGAATGCATGTTCAAATTTTGGAACGTAAAAGATTAAAATATACTTAAATGTACTTAGATATATTGGAGAAGGGGTGAAATGTACATTAGACTGCCATTCTTTGCTTTGAATCTCTTTGAATAGATTAAATACTTTTTCTCCTGCTGTAACTGTGAATTGTGTGTGTTGGGCAGGGAGTTCTGGTCTTCTGTATTCCAAACAACATTGCTTTGTACAAAAAGAATATTGTGAGAGTTTATCACAATTTATTAGAAAGTGCTGGGGGAAAAAACATGTGGAATACAGTAATTTTTTAAAAAAAAAGAATATATATTTTCAGGCTCAAATGTCATACATTCAAGTAGGAAAGTACCACTGAAATCAACAGGTCTTATTTCTGAATAGGCATGTCTCCTGATGCATGTACACAGTACAATTAATGCAGTTCAACATCACTTTGGAAACCCAGTGGTGCAATGGGTTAAACCCTTGTGCCAGCAGGACTGCTGAGTGACAGGTCAGCGGTTTGAATCCAGGGACAGCGGGTTGAGCTCCCTCTGTCAGCTCCAGCTCCCCATGCAGGGACATGAGAGAATCCTCGCACAAGGATGGTAAAACATCAAAACATCTGGGCGTCCCCTAGGCAACATCCTTGCAGACAGCCAGTTCTCTCACTCCAGAAGCGATTTGCAATTTCTCAAGTCACTCCTGACATGAAAAAAAATCACTATAACTATCATGGCTCAATGCTATGGGATTTGTAGTTGGATGAGGAATTAGGACAACGATAGTAAACTGCATTAATTCTGCAGTATAGAATCAGCTTAGGATTGCATGGAAAGACTGCAATTCTCCGACCAGAGAGCAACTTGGTTTTTCTAGACAAAAAATCCAATAAATAGGTATCAGTTCTCTATGGGAAGAGACTTTCCTTGGAGTAGGCATAATGGGAGTCACTTCTAAACAAACATACTTTTGACTGTTTGCTTAAAATGTTAGTTGTTCTACATATGCTTAATGCAGCAGCATATGTTTAAGATGAGACAAGAGCGTAGTATCTGCATTAGGATGATAAGCCTATCAGTCAGTACAGATGCTGTGGACAGCTTCTCCTTAAAGCTTCTTACTTGGAGTCAATCTAAGACAACATAACCTTTGGCTGTTCAAATATTCTTAACTTTTTGTGGATTCCTCAGACATCCATATATTCTTTGCTGAGTTTGAAGCAGCGGGATGAAATGCAGAATGGTTACAATCCAGTGAACATTCTCTTGATAGTTACGTAGATTACACAAGATGTGTTTGGTCTAAGTAATCTTGAGCATGAAGCAATGGTGGCATCAGTTTCCTGTTTCATTGTTGAAGGTCTGTATTAAATCATAGGAAACAGTTCTGCATGTCAAACTGTTCCTGTGTAGTTTTGCCACTCATTTTATGATTTCTTTTGCAAAGTAATTAACATTAGAACTGTGCCAGTGCTTCGACACACTGATCATGGTTAGAAGTATATACCATAGAGTCCATCTACACAGTAGAATTAATGCAGTTTGACACCACTTTTTACTACCATGGCTCAATACTATGGAATGCTGGAAGTTGTAGTTTTCTAAGGCATTTAGCTGATTCTGCAAAGAGTGCTGGTATCTTAGCAAGCTACAACTCCCAGTATTCCATAGCATTGATCCATGGCAGTAGGAGCCATGGTGGCACAACGGCTTAAACCCTTGAACCGGCTGACCTGTTGACCTGAAGATTGGCGGTTCGAAAAACATGGTGAGCTCCCATCTGTAAGCTCCAGCTTCCAATGAGAGAAGCCACACATGAGAGAAGGCACCCACAGGATGGTAACATATCCAGGTGTCCTCTGGGCAACGTATCTGCAGACAGCCAATTCTCTCACACCAGAAGTGATTTGCAGTTTCTCAAGTCGCTTCTGACACAATTTTAAAAAATCCATGGCAGTTAAAGTGGTATGAAACCATACTAATTCTAGGGTGTAGGTGCTTCCATAGTCTTTTTCATACAGTTACAGATGTGTGTTGGACTGCCTTCACCTGGATACTCCTAGGATTTTGAAAACCTATGGCCTTTTTAACCAAAATGCAACAAATTGTCTAAATCTGTATCAAATATCTTGTGGAACTTCAAGATATTCTGTACTGAATTTGAGTCTCTACCTGTCTTACATCATGGAAGATTGCTTCATTTTGTTCATTCCTTACCATAATATTTAATATAATAATAATACATTTATTTAACACAAATACTAGTGTCAAAATAAGTAGTGTCTGAGTTTGCAGAATCATAGAATAATAGTCAGAAGAGATTGCATGGGCCATTCAGTCCAACCCACTGCCATGCAGGAAAAGCACAACCAAAGTGCCCCTAACAAACGGCCATCTGGCCTCTGTTTAAAAGCCTCCAAGGAAGGAGCTTCCAACACATTCAGAGGCAGAGAGTTCCACTGCTGAACAGCTCTCACAGTTAGGAAGTTCTTCCTAATGTTTAGAAGGAATTTCCTTTCCTGTAGTTTGAAGCCATTGTTCCACGTCCTAGTCTCCAGGGCAGCAGAAAGCAAACCTGCTCCCTCTTCCTTTTGTCATACTTTCAAGCATTGAAACATGGTTATCACACCACCTCTCAACCTTCTCTTCTGTAGGCTAAACATGCCCAGCTCTTTTAAACGCTCCTCATAGGGCATGGTCTGTAGAAGTGGGAGAGACTTTGTGCACTGTCAAGATGTTTATGGAACAACTCAGTCACAACAACATCATTAATCCCTTCATTTTTGAGGACAATGTTGGGCTTAGATCATCTTTTCATGATGGGATTAGACTATGCTTTCACCCAGGCTTTGAATGCTAGCACTTATGAGTCAACCAGGGTTTGTGCCCTTATCTCATAGCCACACCCAAATAACTCTTCTCCCCCCCCCCTTTTTTTGTATCTACTATTGCCACAAGAAAGCATGATGATGTGATTAACGTTTAGCAATTTCAGGCAATACACCATTTACCAGTTTTATATTGTGTCTGTGAGCACCTTCAACCACTTCTCAAAAGGAAACAAGGCTAGCAAACCAGAATACAAGTGGTGAAGATGAGTGAAGGAAGAGACATAAATCATGTATGTCCCATGATAACCTTTTATTGGCCATGGCTTATTGGCATAAGACTACAAAACAACAAATATTCTTAGAAACAATATGTAGCAAGCACAACCCAGTTCCAAACTGCCAATCCATAAGATTTCAATAGATACTGTATACAGTCGCCCATCCACATTTGTGGGTTTGACTTTTAAGGATTTGATTATTTACATATTTTATTAAATCTGTCTAGGAATCCCTAGGTCCTCCAATGTTATTCTATGGTCAATGTTCTCCAGGAGGAGTAGAGATTTCCAGAGAGAACACCAATATAGGACTTTTGAGGTCCTCCAGTAATAATAATAATAATAATAATAATAATAATAATAATAATAATAATAATTCCTTCCCAATGTGTGACGGGAAATTGTTGCTAACTGAGAGTAATAAGGTTGAACACTGTGAAAGCCACCCACTGCATGGCTATCAGCCTCTTCTTAGTAGACTCAAATCAATGAAGAGTTTCACTCTTCTTAATTTTCCCCCAGCAATAGCAAGGGTATCCCTCTGGGCAGCTAAACTGGGAAATGCCAAATGGATGGCCCCACATGAGGGTCTTCCTCCAGGGGAAAACAAAAAATGGGCAACTTGGAAGTCCCTGAACAGACTCAGAAGTGGAGTGGGCAGATCAAAAGACAACCTGGCAAAATGGCACAACCTGCCAAAACGGCACACCTTGTGTGACTGTGGAGCAGAACAGATAACTCTGCAGCTGAAATCTAGTCCACAATGCCCTGCCTCATGCACTGAGGAAGAATTGCTTAAAGCTACAGACAATGCAGTGACTGTTGTCTGTTTTTGATCTAAAATTATTTAGCTGCTTGTGTTCCCTCTATTTTATCAGTTTTATACTTATTTATGCAATACTTTTGACATGAAATAAATCAATAAAATTATTTTATTTCTTATCTGCTTCTCCCTGCAGCTCAAGGAAGGTTATAACACAATTTATGAACACGAACATAGCAAAAAAATCAACAAATATACATGTTTCTATAAAAGATTTCTATAAAATACATATTAAATACACAAAGCAGACATCAAGCAAACAACATGAGTTTAAGAGTCAATGAGATTCTATGGTCACTTTCAACAGAACTGACACATAGGGGCATTCCACACAGTCATATCTCAGAATATAAGGCAGAAGATCCCACATTATTTGAGTGTGGATTCAGGGCCCTTCCACACAGCCCTATATCCCAGCAGATCAAGGCAGAAAATCCCACAATATCTGCTTTGAACTGGGCTATCTGAGACCACACTTAGATAATGTGGGATTTTCTGCTTGATATTCTGGGATATAGGGCTGTGTGGAAGAGTCCATAGAGTGGTGTTGGAAAATTTCTAGTGAGGTATTTCCGCAGATTAAAAAACATGGCAATTTCTTTCTTTACAGTTTTTCACTTTCATTGGGGTCCTGTACCTCTAACCCCAGTGAATGTGGAGGGTTGGCTGCATTTCCTGGCAAACTGTCAGAGCTTAACCAGCAATTTATCTTTCTGTGCCAAGTCTTGTTTTAAACAAGCCATAGTTTGGATGAACTTCTGTTTGTTCAGTTTGAATGACAAAGGAAGCAAAGGCTTCCAGTTCCTCTTCTCGGCCACAAGAAAGCAGCAGAAGAATGGAGAAGTAGTAAGCCTTTGTGGTGGGAGGCTGGGACTAAGGGCTGTTCCACACAGCCATATAACCCAGAATATCAAGGCAGAAAATCTCACAATATCTTCTTTGAATTGGGTTATCTGAGTCCACACTGCCATATATTCCATTTTGAAGCACATAATGTAGGATGTTATCCAGCTGTGGGGAAAGGGGCCTAAGCTCTTCCATATTGTAATACATTGTTGGGTTTTTTTTTTGTGCAACTTCAATGTGTGTAACTTCAATGGCAAGCCAGCCCTTGAAATGTTTGCATTTAGACACTGATATTAGAGTATCATATATAAAGGCTTCTTATTCAGTTTAAGTACAATCAATCACTCCCTTTTCTCAGCAAACTACAAAGGTGGAAGGCATGGGGGAGAGACTAGGCTTCTTGTGTATTATTTCCCATGAAATTGGTAATTGAAAACCACACAAACCATTCAGATCTAATGTTAGGGCAGGTGTATTTTGCATTCAGACTTTTGTATATGCATACAATAACTCCTCTTTTTTGTTCCATTGCACATTCTCAAAAGACCTAGTGGAGAATAGCACTACACTCCTGTCTAGCCATCTCAGGAGTATAAGGAGACTCACATGCCATGGTTGGGTTAAGAGAGGCAGGCCCAAATTTTTCAGGTTAAAAAAAACACTAGTTTACTCATGAATTTTAACTGGTTAACCAAATCCCCATGCTAAGTCTATGAGACGCAAAAAATTAAGAGTCCCTCCAGAACTGCAAACACTATCTCAAGCAAATATTGACAATTGATTCACACTGTCATTACTTGCAGCAATAGCTGATGCAGCAAAGCAACCAAGTTTGGGGGGGGGTGTGTTGAATGCTCTCATTAAGGAGGCCAGACCTGGTGGAGGTGGTTGACAGGGGCGGAGCTGCAGGCTATTGAAGGCTGCTCTGCCCCCTGTTGTGCTCTTTGCTTCAGCGTGACCCTAACCCCCCCCCCCCCCGAAATTTTCACACTCCCCCTCAGAAATTTTCAACCCTCCCCCCAAAAAATTTCTGGCTACGGCCCTGAAGAGGGGAAGCATGGAGTGGGAAATGGGGACAGAATTAAACGGTTGAAAGGAATTCTAAAGTCCATCTGGCCTGGTTCTCTATCGATGCAGAAATCCACTGCTATGGTATCCCAGCAAGGTGGGCATCCAACTGTTTCTTATGAAGTGGTACATTGATAGGGCTATGGTCAACACTGCCATTAGAAAAACAGTGGCAAAGCTTCTCAAGGCAGCAAATGTTAGGGGACAAGCAGCAACGGGGACAATGCTCTGGCCATTCCTTTTGAGCAACCAGGACAATCTTCACTATTAGAAAAGTCAGCTATCAATATCACAATAGCATCCATAATGTGCTCTACCTGGGGATAGAAACACATTTAAATATATTTACTTTAAAAAGTCTTACTGCAGTCAAAAGGATTTTCTTTTCCTTAAGTGTACTAGGTACTGGAGTCTTTGGAAAACTGAACCTCTACTTCTGAAATCAGAAGAATGTGCAGCCCTTTCATTCATATGTGTTTGCTCTCACTTCTGTATCATTTCTTTTTATACATGGGGATATTTACTGATTTATCCAACCCCCACCCCCTAAAAAAATTAAATCTACAAGTCTGTATATACATCCTGTTATCAATACTTCTTTTTCGTGTCAAGAGTGACTTAAAAAACTGCAAGTTGCTTCTGGTGTGAGGGAATTGGCCGTCTGCAAGGACATTGTCCAGGAGACGCCTGGATGTTTTCATGTTTTACCATCCTTGTGGGAGGCTTCTTACATGTTCCCGCATGGGAAGCTGGAGCTGACAGTCAGGAGCTCATCTGCACTCTTCCTAGATTCCAACATCTGACCTGTCGGTCCTCAGTCCTGTCAGCACAAGGGTTTAACCCACTGCACCATGGGGGCTCCTGTTATCAATTCTAACTGATGGCTAATATTAAATGCAATTCCTTCCATTGCTATATTTTTCAGGAAACAATCAACTTCAAAATATGTCTGCGAAACCCAAACTTACCTACTTCAATGGCAGAGGACGAATGGAATCTACTCGGTGGTTGTTAGCGGCAGCTGGAATTGAGGTTTCTTCTTCTTTTTTAACAAAACTATTAAATGGCACTGGATTGGTTATGAACAATTAGCTCATATCTTTTTCCTTGGTTTGAACAAGAAATGTCTCCGTTCACAACTTATGTGATCAATGATGCAACAAAAAGACCATGCATAACATTCACAGATTAAGCTAGCCCCTGCTCTCCAAGCCTTCTGTAGACAAGCCTTAGACTATGTTTCGAAACCCTTAATGAACATACTTGAGGATCTAAAGATTATGTTCACCATGCACTTTATGGAACAGATATTGATTGAGGTTGTTTTATATTCTGCAGCTGTTGTTGCATTTTACTGATCTTGGTTGTTATTGCTTTTGTGTTATTGTCTTTGCACTTTTGTATTTTGAATGTTTGCCCTTTAGAGTGCTTTGTGAGCCACCCCGAGTCCCTCCAAGAGATGGTAGCGGGGTATATTTATTTTATTTATTTATTTTGTATGCTTATATACCGCAATATCTCAGCCTACAATGGCGACTCATTGCGGTTAACAGTACTTAAAAACAACAATAATCAAACAATTATTTAAACAATTAAATAAATAAGTAAATATTAAAAACATAAATAACATAACCAATCTCTCTTTCTCCAGTTTGAAGAAGAATTTGTGGAGACAAAAGAACAATATGAAAAACTATGCAAAGGTAAAAATCTGAGACAAGTGTTTGGTTTCTCTGGATGAGACAGACAGGTTGGGAGATTGCAGTATTTCTCTGGGTCTTTGAAAATATTTAAATGATTATCTCTTGTTCCAGACTATTTTTTGGCAATTCCCAACAATACTTTCAGATTGGTTTCTTCTAAATTCTGAGATGTATTGGAACAAAAAATTATCCTTGCCACTCTTCCTCCCTCCCTCCTTGCTCCTCCCTCCTTGCTCCTTGCTGCTGCTGCTTCTTCTTCTTCTGCTTCTTCTTCTCTTCCTCTCTCTCTCTCTCTCTCTCTCTCTCTCTCTCTTTCTTTCTTTCTTTCTTTCTTTCTTTCTGTTTTCTTTACTTTAGAGTAAACATGCTGCCAAGTGTACTATTGAAACCAAACAGGCTGTTCTTGAACTACTCTTCAGTCTGTTTCACTTGCCATAACAAAAACTTTGGGTGGAGGATTATAGGATGACTCCAGTGTTTTGTTATTGGAACAGCCTGAGCTTGTCCAAATTTGTCCACAGTAAAAGTGTGGTGCTTTAGAGGATTACGCTGCAAACCTGATGGGAAACTAAAGTTTCGAGACATATTTATGTATGAGTGAAGGGTTCACTTCATTTTCTGTCCTTTTGCCAAACTATGCACTCAAGGCAATTGACAAGAATAACATTCAAATTAATGAAGAAATATGGTTAAATATCATAACAGATTGATAACAGATCCCCTCAAGATGCCAGCCACAGATGCAGGTGAAATGCTAGAACACAGCAATCCACCCTGAAAACCATACAACACCCCTTTGACAATAGATTCAAAATGCATCAATAAACAGAAATAACATATATGTTCAAGCATAACCTAGTTTAGATGTCAAGGACTCGCCCATATGTGTGTGTGTGTGTGTGTATTATAAAGGACAACAGTGAATAGGAAAAGCTAATCCCTCCCCCAGCAGAGAAAGCCTGGGAACATAGAGCAAGAAAGCCCTTTTGTATGTCACTCACAAATGAGCTAGGTATTTCATTACTTTTAAAAACATTGTTGTAACTCTACTACACCCAAGAAGGGATTTCTAATGCAAGTCAGAGAAGCAGAGAGAGAGTAAAAGGCTAAGCAGCAAAAGTAAGGGAGGAAACTACCTATTTCTGTTGCCTTTGATTGCAAGAATTGCTTCAGTGAAACACTGTTAGTCCTTCACATTCACTAGGATTAGGGGGCCCTGGACCTCCATGAAAAAAAATCATGAATAAAGAAATTGCTACCCTTTTTTTAGGCTGAAAAAGTCCTTCTCGGCTTATACTTGAGTCAAGATTATTTATTATTGAATTCTGTTGTTGTTATTGTTGTTACTTCTATCATTTTCCTCTTATTATTTTCAGTGCTGAAAAACTAGGCTTATACTTGAGTATATACAGTATATTGTTGTATATATATTAAATTGTAATATTGTAGTTTTAATTATGCTGTAAACCGCAATGAGTCGCCATACAGGCTGAGATATTGGCGGTATATAAGCGCACCAAATAAATAATAAATAATAAATAATAAATAAATAATAATAAATACTGAGCATTCACTCTATTCTATTCATCCTTTCACATGAGTGAGTAAAATCAAGCAGAAAAGTTTGATTTGTAACCTCCCACTCCTTGATTGTTCAAATCAAACACTATTCATAAACCAACAAGAAACTATAATTTATCTCCTGTTTAAAAAGAGGAGATTCAAAAACAAGCAGGTCTTTCCACACAGCTGAATAAAATCCCACATTTACTGTTTTGAACTGAGATATATGGCAGTGTGGACTCTGATAGCTCAGTTCAAAGCAGATATTGTGGTATTTTCTGCCTTGATATTCTGAGTTATATGGCTGTGTGGAAGGGCCCTGGGTGTTCTTGATGAAATTTATCCTTGGAGAAGTAACACACATTTATTTGATGAGAACAAGGGTTAGTAACATAAATAGTGTAAAAGTATATGAAGTTTCACAGTAAACTCCCAAGGTCATGTTGCCGGCATGACTGCATGGACCACTGTTACCTTCCCACCGGAGCGGTGCCTATTGATCTCACATTTGCATGTTTTCGAACTGCTAGGTTGGCAGAAGCTGGGGCTAACAATGGGAGGTCACGCCACTCCCTGGATTCAAACCTGCGACCTTTCGGTTGGCAAGTTAAGCAGCTCACCAGTTTAACCCACTGTTCCACTGGGGGCTCCCTTTATAATGTATTGATATGTATATTATATTGATATGGTCACTAATTTTCTTTTTCTTTTCTTTTCTTTTCTAAAGATGGAGCCTTGCTGTTTGGCCAACTCCCACTAGTGGAGATGGATGGAATGAATCTGGTCCAAACCCGGGCCATTCTCAACTACATAGCAGGGAAATATAACCTCTATGGGAAGACCCTGAAAGACAGAGCTCAGTATCTGTATCGTTCCTCATTCACTTTTTCCAATTCAGACAAAATAGCACAAAATACATGATGGCTGGGGGTGAAAGAAATGTAGATCACTAAGAAACCTTAAATAAACAAGTTGTTAGATCTTGTGCTTTAGGGCAGATATATTGCACTACAAACCCCACAATTCAAAGCTATCAATTAGAATTTGTAGTCCAGCACACCAGGAAAGGCTGAAGTTGGGGAAGGCTATTGAAAACTATGAAAGGAGCAATTTCGATTTGCACTACTAATAACCAAACCTGCACTTTCAGATTTCGGAATAGGGTAGCATTTAGGGTGCTGCTTGCATTTCTATTTCTTCCTTCCAATGCAAAATTGCTAGCTAACAGCTAAAAGCTGGCGATTTTGCATTGGGAGGAAGAAACAGAGAATGCTTGATTCCTGTATGTATGTATGTATGTATGTATGTATGTATGTATGTATATTCCTGTATGGGGGCAAGAAAATAATAATAATAATAATTATTATTATTATTATTATTAGAAACACAACAAGATGAGTCCACAGTACACAAGATCACTCTGCTGGCTGTTGTATTGGATCACATGTCAGACGCTTCCCAAATGTCTAGGACTGTGTGATGTATCGGCGAATAATGCGTGCAGATCCCAGTAAGTTGGCCTTTTGCAGCTGGCAGATGGTAATTTTGTCAGCGCCTATTGTGTTTAAGTGCAGGCCAAGGTCTTTAGGCACTGAACCCAATGTGCTGATCAGCACTGGGACCACCTTTACTGGCTTGTGCCAGAGTCTTTGCAGTTCAATCTTTAAATCCTCATATTGTGTCAGTTTTTCCAGTTGTTTCTCTTCAATCCTGCTGTCACCTGGAATTGCGATATCAATGATCCAGACTTTGTTTTTTAACACGATTGTGAGGTCAGGAGTGTTGTGCTCCAGAACTCTGTCTGTCTGAAATCGGAAGTCCCAGAGTAGTTTGACGTGTTCATTCTCTGTAACTTTTTCAGGCTTGTGATCCCACCAGTTCTTTATCGCAGGCAGATGGTATTTGTGGCACAAGTTCCAATGAATCATCTGACCAACAGTGTTGTTGGTGGTGGTGTTGTTGTTGTTGAGCTTCATGCTTTCCTGCTGTTGTCCAAAGGCTGATTTTAACTAAGCAGAATTTATACAAATGACATTTTCTCTGCTTATCCATGCAGCATTGACATGTATGTAGAAGGGACAATGGACTTATTCCAAATGATTTTGATGTTTCCCTTCACCCCACCCGAGCAAAAGGAGAAGCAGGCTGCTACAATCTTCGAGAAGGCCACCACAAGGTACTTCCCAGTGTATGAAAAGGTATGCTGTCATCTAGAATTTTTACTGGCAACTACTTATTAGTTTGGATAGTGGGGATAATTATTGTTATTAATAATAATTTTATTCTTTACCTACTTATCCTTGCAGCACTAGAGGGGGTATAAGCTAGCTAACAACACATAATCTATACACATAATAAAAGTGAAAATATGTATATGTGTGGTTGAAGTGTCTGCTTACACAGACAAGCTCTTGCCTCCACAAATAGCTATAGTTCCCACTCCTCAGGAGACTCCAATGGACCTCCCTCCAATGACATTGCAGGTTATAGTAAGCGCTGTAAACATGTCCAAGAGCCCTACCAATGTCCTCCACAAACACCATACTGCCTACCACCCAAGTGAAGGCTTTCATAGAGGGGCAATTTTATCCTAGATTTTTTGTGTTTCCTCCACCACAGACATCCCAGTCTCCCACTCTCCATTGGTGTGGAATTTACATGACCCCCACCCACTGCCTCTCCCTTTTCCTATTCTTTTCTATGGCATACAGCAAACAGAGGAATTGATCAGCAACTCAGCATACTAGAGCGGTTTGGGGAGAATTCAACATTATTTATGGGAGTTGTAGATCCTGGGATGTATAGTTTACCTGCAATCGAAGAGCATTCTGAACTCCACCAGTGATGGACCTGGAACTAACTTGGCACACAAAGCCTCTATGACCATCAAAAAATACTGGAGCTCTTTGGGGAAAATTCACCTTGATTTGCAGTTGTAGTTCACATACATGCAGAGAACACTGAGAATCCAAACACCGATGGATCTGGACCAAACTTGGCACGCATACCTGATATGCCAAAATTTGATTACTGGAGGGTGTTTTTTTTGGGGGGGGGGCAACCTTCCTTCCTGGGAGTTGTAGTTCACCCACAACCAGAGAAACTGTGATCTTCACCAATGATGGACCTGGACCAAACTTGGCACACAGAACTCCCATGATTGACTCAACCTACTGGAAGGGTTTGAAGGGACTGACTCAACATAGTGGGAGTTGTAGTTTACCCTACAACCAGAGAGCACACTGAACACCACCGATGATGCATCTTGGGCAAACTTGCCCAACATAACAAACTTTAAGTACTGATGAAGTTTCTTGGGGTTAATCTGGCATGATGTCACTTGTAATTCACTCACAACCTTATGCATTTTGCAGAATTTTTTTTTCAAATAATCCGAGCAACGCCGGGTACCCAAAGCTAGTCATTATATAAAATACACATATTAAGATGCATTTCTACACAATACATATATTAAAATATACAGGAAAAAAGATTAAAATACAATGAACGCAAGACGCAAATTTAAAATTCATGATTAAAACTGGCTGGGAAAGAGTTTTGAATGCCAGAATATATGAGAAATATGTTTTAACTGTCTCTTTAAGGATTTTACAGAATCCAGAGACTTGTTTGTAATATCGCAAGAACAGAGAAAGCATGGTCTGTGCATTATGTGAACCTACAGAACCTTTTTTGCATTCTCTAATCATCTACTGCACTCCAAATTTCCCAATCTTCTGAATTCTGAAATAGAAAATAGAAGTGTCTTCAAGTCTCTTTTTGAGATAATACTTAATTAACTCTGGCTGAATAACTTAATGTGATCTGCTCATAATGTTTTGGAATACGTAACTGTTAATTTCCCATCCCCCACCTCAGCTTTGAATCTCTTTATATATCTCTTTGAATCTCTTTAAAAGTCCTCAAACTTTTTAAACAGAGGGCCAGGTCACAATCCCTCAAACTGTTGGAGGGCCGGATTATAATTTGAAAAAAGCACGAATGAATTCCTATGCACACTGCACATCTCTTATTTATAGTACAAAAACACTTTAAAATGAAGAACAATTTTAACAAATATAAACTTATCAGTATTTCAACTGAAAGTGTGGACCTGCTTTTGGCTGATGAGATAGGATTGTTGTTGTGTGCTTTCAAGTCATTTCAGACTTAGGTTGACCCTGAGCAAGGGCTGGGTAAATGACCTCGGAGGGCCGTATCCGGCCATCGGGCCTGAGTTTGAGGACCCCTGGTGTAGGCAATGAGCAGACATATCTTGCAAGCTGTGCAATGCACATATTTAAAACAGAAATTCCTTGGATGAAGTTAATCAGTGTAAGAGCTTGGCAAAGTCACTTTTTAGACTATGGTCCCTTCCACACAGCTATATAAAATCCACATTGAACTGGATTATATGGCAGTGTTGACTCAGATAATCTAGTTCAAAGCAGGTATTGTGGATATAACTCCTAAAAGAGTTATTATCATGGGGAAAAGGTGTCTCCACTGAAGCTTTATACTCAATCCTTGCTTCCACAACTAGCTAGTTTTTTTCAAAATCCAATTATCACATATATATAGCTGGAGTTACACTTAAAAATGTACCTGTTCTGATTTACATGCAAATTCAATTTAAGAACAAACCTAGAGAACCTATCAGGTTCATAACTTGTGGACTGCCGGTATAGATATCTACACACTCAAACATATTTACACAAATTTGTATTTTCTAGGCGCTGAAAACACATGGACAAGAATTTCTTGTTGGAAATAGCCTCAGTTATGCAGATGTACAGCTGCTTGAAGCTATTTTAGCAATCGAAGAGATAAAACCCGATGTCCTTGCACAGTTTCCTAAGTTGCAGGTATGACATTAATGAACTGCATTGTGTAGATTTCAGTTTTCACCATCTGTGTACCAGTTCTGAGTTATGGATTTCTCCTTCCTGCTCTTTTCAATCTCTTTAGATAAGCTACTATGATGATGATATGGGATCCTGGCCATTAGACCAACCTATCTGCTGATATCTGTGATATGGATGGGGGGGGGGGGATATGAGTTTTAAATGCCAGTTTAGTATATCTATGTATTTAAATTTGTTTTTACCACCCTGCTACTATTTAATTGCTTTTTAATTGCTTTTAAACTTTTGTATTGCACCTTTTCAACTTGCCTAGTGTGGAGTGTTTGCCACTTTGAGTCCCCCTTGGGAGAAAGGCAGGGTATAAATAAAGATAATAAATAAATATCTGCTTCATACATGCAAACACACATATGAACTGTTTTGGTTCAACAAAACAACAGGTCTCAAGTATTTGGTCAACTTGAGAAGTGGTGAATGGTCTTTGTAGCTATTACCTAGCTATAGTGGATACTAATAGCTGTCCGTATTCTCTACTATCAACCCAATTTTCTCCCCACATCAGCATTTCCTCAGAGAAGTATGCTTCAACCTGGCCTGGGTTCTGTTTGGATTTTGGATTTTGTTTTAATATTCAGGGTAGACAGTTTTACTAATGGTCCATCTTATATTGCCCGATTACACAACAGTAGGGTTATCTATAGTGTATTGTCTGTGTAGGAAATTGGTTCTTTATATTGCAAAAGTGTATTGCTAAAGATCATTAAAATGTTGTGGATTTTTTTTGAACTCAAGATTATGTTTTAGGATTTTTCAATTTCTAAACTCCTTTTCTTTAGGCTTTCAAAGCAAGAATAAGCAATATCCCTACCATTAAGAAGTTTCTGCAGCCTGGAAGCCAAAAGAAACCACCAGCGGATGCTGTCTATGTCGCAACTGTGTTGAAAGTACTTACGATTGAGTAAGAGCTGCCTGTCGGCCTCTTGTAAGAAGGTCAATATTGCATCACTATGTGCAGTTAAGCGACATGATCACCTTTCAGGTTCATAATCAGTAAACAGGATTGTTATACGTTGAATGCATGTAAGGTCTCTGAAAGAATATTAAACTTCCCCATTGCAGTGCTGAGTATAAATTTAGAGGTGTATGGTTTCTGTTTTCTGAAGTGGGGTGTCAATTTATATGAACCAGTGTCATTGGACTCCAGTTTTCACCAGCCTCTGTGAACTTGGTAAAGGATCATGGAAACTGTCACTCAGCAACACCTTGAGGGCCAAGGTTCCCTGTTCTGTTTCAGACGGTTTATAATCCTCCCAGCTGCTAAAACTATGGGTCCTGAGAGTGGTTTCTGTCGCTCCTAAAAGCCAAAGGGGGATAATTCCTTGAACTGACCATTAGATTTGCCATACAAATGTATGCATAGAATAGATGGATTACTAATCAAATCACTGACTTACCAGTCATTACACATATCCCCTGATGCTAGTTAGGTGCTATGCCCAGCAATGGAGGCACATAGTGCAACTATTAAACAGATATAAAGTAAAGGCTAGGCAATATTAGAACATCAAAGAGAAGCTTCCACATTTCATCTCATAATAGTTGTCACTGCATAATAGCTGCCCCCCACCATTTTGATGCCCCAATGTTATTTTGTTTTCTTCGCATAATAGTCACACCCACATTTGAGGCTGATCCCCTCCCTCCCTCCCTCCCTCCCTTTCTTCTTTCTCCAAATACAAAGCAGTTTAAAAATTACAAAATGGAAGTCTCTGAAGCTCCACTTTCCTTTCCCTTCTTCTTCTTACAAGGCAATGCAGTTTTAAAAAACCCTCAAATAGAGGTCTCTGGAAATCAGATCTTCCCTCTTTCCTCCAAAGAACTCTATTCCAAGTTTTGTAAACTGCTTTGCCTTGGAGAATAGAGGGAAGAGGAAAGAGCGCACCTCCAAAGACCACCATTTTATAGTTTTTAAACTGCCTTGCCTTTGGAGAAAGAAAGAAAGAAAGAAAGAAAGAAAGAAAGAAAGAAAGAAAGAAAGAAAGAAAGGAAAATCAGTCCTAGATGGCTCTGCAATTTAAACAGACAGGCATACCTCTTCTCGTTCCCTTTCAGAGGTAAGGCAATTAAAAAAAAACAACATAATTTTTCTTCACATAATAGTCACACCCCCGTTCTTTAAAAAATGGGGTGGAAAGTGTGACTATTAAGCAATGAAATACGGTATTCCAAAAGACAGTATATCTGAGAACACAGTCTGAGTTTTCAGATAAATGGAATGTGCCAAGATATATGTCAGACAACATGATGGATCAAAAAATCAATCACAGAAAGCTGATGGGATCATTTTAGCCAAACATATCTTCAACTAATGTAAATTTCTACAGATGACAGGCCTATTAGCATCTGAAATGCCTTTTCTAAAAGGCTTGTGCTAGCCTTTTGAGCTCACAAGAGGTTCATGTCAAACATAAGGCAATTTAATGGACGCAATAAATTTTGCCATATGTATAGGATGAGACTCTCTCTTTAAAAAGGACATGACTAAAACTATTTGGGGCTTGCCTACTGGAACTAGCACCCTGTTTAATAGTTTGGAGGGAAAGGATTTTCTATTTGAAGAACTGAATCCATGCTTGGAATCTGAAGCAATCCACTCTTCCCATCTGACTCATTTCCTGAAATACCACCCCAGTCTTAATGTGTAGTGAAAGCTGTTGCTTAAAACAGACAGCTGACCCACGCAACACAAGTGTCGTAGTCTGTCTCTGGCAATATATTGCTGACTCGGGCAATCCTAGGGGCAGGATAATAATGGTTCAGTGTTTTCACACATACTTTGGTCTTTTGTCTATGCCAACGGCAGGCAGTTTGTGGAACTTCTATCGTCAACCACTATTGGCTCTGCAGATATTGTTGGATTACAATGTCCTTCTTTCATCCTTCAGCAGTTCATGCTGGACAAGGACTGATTGGATTTGCATTCCAACAATATCTGGAGGGTCAGAATTTACTTTTTTCTGGTAATGGTTATCTGAAAGCAGCCCATTCTCCTCTGCCCCTACAATCCGCCCCGCCTCCACAAATTGGAGAAGGGTGATAAACTACAGGAATAGACTATTAAAACAAGAATAAGAATACAAGTCAAAAGAGGAGTCTGACAAGTATGTGTGTGTATACACACACATTACCCCAGAGAATCACTCTCCAATCTGAGGAGGGCAACAAAAATAGTGTGAGAGTTGACATATTCACCCCCACGTTCCATGATATTTTGGGTTAGTGCTGCTGTGAAATGACAAGATAAAGCAGACTTTGGAAATGCTCTCTCTCACACTGACCTATGAGTCCTACCATCCCCATGGCAGCTGAGGAGGGGGTTTTGGATCCAAAAAGGGAAATTTCAAACAATTTAAGATGGATAAGAGCATATTCAGATTTGAAACCAGAGTTTTATCTTTTGGGAATGCTGGCCATATAGAAAGAAAATTTTCAAGTTTGTTAGACTATAGGATAATTGCTGCAAGAACTGTGTATGTTCAGAAATGGAAGAAATCAATTATCCCAATATAAGAAGAATGGTTGATGAAGATCTGAGTAGCAGAAGTGATGAAAAGATTGACTGTGCTGATTTAGGATAAATCTCTGACCAGCTTTAAGAAAAAAAAATGAGAATGGTTCACTGCCTTTTCATAACAAAAGTGGGGGCATTTATCAATCATAAGATTCATGATTTAGTAAAGTGTTGTCAAAAGTATAAACATATATAATATGTTTAAAAGACATGTATTAATACGAGAGAATAACTAGCAGGTAGGGAGTGGTATGTGTGTAGTTTTTGATTTGTTTGCTTTTTCTCTCAGAGTGTTTTATTTTTGTCTTTCTGTTTAGTAATTTTAATAGTCATTTAGTTAGAATTGTGTATCTTTTATTTTTTATATCTAAAAATTATCTTGAGTGCTTTATTTGGTTTTTTTCTACTTTGAAAAAAATATCTTTAAAGAAGAAAACCCCACTCCCTCCACTTTCTATACAGCATTTGTATGGGTGTAGTGCTGAGATGCCATTTGCTGTAGACATCCATGTGCTGAATCTGTGACCTTCTCATGCAAACCAAACCATTCACGAACCAGAGTAGCCAACTCCTGTCTGCCAATAAAAGTGATGGAATTATTGCATAGAATGATGGTATGGGTTGCCTATAGTGGAGTTCCTTCTTATATACACTGGAGTTTGGTTCCAGGACCCTACCTAGATAGTACCAAAAGTCATGAGTACTCATCCCATTGTATACAACAGTGTAGCAAATGGCATCCCTTATATAAAACGGCAAAATCAAAGTTTGCTTTTAGATTTGTTAAAAATGAAATGAGGCAATCTGTTGGTGCAGAATTCGTGGGTTCTGAAGACCAATTGTAAAAACAGGATAACCCATTCCCCTGGTAGCTGGCAAACAAAAGGGCATTTGTACCATAGGTGTAAAAGGCAGGAGTAGAACTGGCATGCCCTTGACTTTGCCAAGGGAGTGTCTGTCTCCTCCTCCTGGGAAGATCTTCCTTCTCCCTGAGGCTTTTATAGCTGAGTTGCACACACGTTATATCTCTCTAGCTAGCAGGAGAAGAACTTGCAGCTCTTTCATTCCTTCCAGAAGCAGGTTAGTAGCAGTTCCCTTGGGAACTTGGGGCACCGGAGGGAAGAGGGATTTCCAAATTGTACCCAAAGGCTTTTTTCTTGCAGACCCCCCACTTCTTCCAGAATGAGATTTTTATAGCACAGTCCTGACATCTGATATGCATAATCTAGCAGGAAAATTTGTCTTCCTGCCTAGTGGCCTCTTCTTCTCTTCTTTTGCTCCTTTCTTCTTCGTCTTCTGTGGGGGAGGGGGTTGATTAAGGGGAAGAGGTGGAACGGGGACCCTCCTTCTTTGGGGGTTTGCCAGGTTTGCCTTTGGATTACCTTATGCACCGGATTGGCATGGCTGGCTACTATTGGCTGTGGCTGGACATCTTGGGTTACCTTCTACACAATTGTATAAAATCCACATTGAACTTTATTACATGGTAGTGTGGACTCAGTTAACACCATTCAAAGCAGATATTGTGGATTATCTACCTTGCTATTCTGAGTTATATAGCTGTGTGGAAGGGCCCTTAGTTTGCAAAGCAGCCCAATCTCTTGGTTACCACTTCAATTCCTTTGATATTTTAGTTACAATAGGAAGGCTCCCCAAGAGGTTTCTGGAAAGAAATGAGGAAAAGGGAAGCTGATAAGTCTCTTTCCCCAAATCACTCCTTGTTTTCCTATCTTGAAGGGTCCAGAAGGAAAATGCCCCTTATTTCTCTCCTCCTGTCTGTATATATACACAGGATGCCCCCCACCAAATGTAGACAGCATTCAGATCATAGTGGTCAAAATGATTATTTGAAGGCTAAAATAGTACATTTAAAGCAAATAAGAATAAATATCCAAATCATGTTCATGACAGAGTCACCAATCTCATCACCTTGGACAGCAATGAAGGGTTCACTTCAACACAGAGTTGCATCAAAGTTTCTCTTACGGTACTTGCTGGGGCAGAATGGAAAGTCTTTGGTCACCCCAAAACACTAGAAACGAAAGAATGTGTTGCCTGGAGCACCTTGGGCTTGAGAAAGTCAGGAACGGGCCCCCTTGCCTTGGTCCCGACTTCTATGGCTGGAAGGCTTCACAGCTGTGCTTTGCTTTGGTCAGCTGGCACATTGCTTTGTGGACTGGCATATGCTCTGCTGGAAACGGCAACTTTGTTTTCTGCAAAGGAAAGTTATTCTTTGGAGCAAAAATAATGCAAAAAAGCTCTGAGCAGAAGAGGTGAAAGGGCTGTAGGAAAAAGGAGATTGCACAACCTGAAAGAAGGAGCCTGAGTTGGCAACTGGGTCAAAGGGTGTCATTTGGTGGCCTCATCTCAGATCTCTGCAGAGACAAGAGCCCAGGAAGGTATTGCTCTTTGCCAGGCAAGTGCCGCTCCCTCTTCAGTCACATTCAGTTTGAGAGCATTGCATTTAACAAGCTAAACAGATCCCATCTTGTCTGGTATTTATTTATTTAATTTTATTTACAATATTTGTATCCCATCCTTCTCTACCCCAAAGGGGACTCCGAGTGGCCTCACACATTGGCAAAAATTTAATGCCATAAAAACATAATAAAAATAAAATACAATAAAAAAAACATTTACATTAAAAACACAGAATTAAAACATTAAACAATGACATCAATTATTAAAATCACATAATCCAAGACCGTAGTCCAGAGCCATTCCTGATTGCCATTGCACCAGTTCTATATTCATTTATTGCACTGCAGTTACTCTCCAAAAGCTTGGTCCCCTAGCCAAGTTTTAACTTTCTTTCTGAAGGCTAAGAGGGAAGGAGCTGATCAAATAACCCTGGGGAGGAAGTTCAACTGTCAAGGGGCCATCACTGAGGAGGCCCTGTCTCTTGTCCCCACCAGTCACGCCTGCGAAGAAGGCGGGACCGAGAGCAGGGCCTCCCCAGAAGAGCTTCACCTCTGAGATGGTTCATAGAAGGAGATAAGGAAAGCTGGGACGAACTGTTTAGGGCTTTATAGGCTAAAGCTAGCACTTTGAATTGTGCTTGGTAGCAGACCGGCAGCCAGTAGAGCTAATGTAACAGGGGGGTTGTGTGCTCCTGTACTCCACTCCAGTGAGCAATCTGTTGGACCAATTGAAGCTTCCAAACAGTCTTCAAAGGAAACTCCACATAGAGCACGTTGCAGTAGCCTATTTGGGGTAACAAGAGTGTGGAATATCGTGTCCAATTCTGGCTTCTCAAGGTATGGGTGCAACTGGTGCACAAGTTTTAATTGTACAAAGCTCCCCTGGACACTGCTGAAACCTGAGGTTCCAGGCTCAACTCTGAGTCCAGGAGAACTCCAAGGCTGTGAACCTGCGCCTTCAAGGGGAGTGTAACCCCATCCAGCACAGGCTGTAACCCGATACCCTGTTTGGCCTTGCAACCGACCAGGAGTACCTCTTTCTTGTCTGGATTCAGTTTCAATTTGTTCACTCTCATCCAAACCATCACAGCGGCCAAGCACCGGTTCAGGACCTGAATAGCCACCTTAGTGGTAGGTGGAAAGGAGTGATAGAGTTGGACATCATCAGCGTACATATAACATCGAAATCCAAAACTCCGAATGATCTCTTCCAACGGCTTCATGTAGATGTTAAACAACATGGGGGACAGTACTGAACTCTGTGGGACCCCACAGGACAAAGGCTGTGGGAACTTTTTATTTGGTATTTGTGTGGGAGTAAGGAATGGTTAGTATTTGGAAGATCACTAGGACATCACATACTAAATATACCACATTTTATCTATTTTTGAGGACCAGGCATGGCTAATATTTGGAATATTGTTACAGCCTTTCACCCAAAGTATACCCAATTCTTGTCTGTTTTAGGGGAAGGGCAAATGTAGGAGACAGTACAGTTGTCCCCCACATTTGCAGTTTTGACTTTTGCAGATTTGATTATTCATAGATTTGATTAAAATGTTATCTCTGGGAATCCCTGGGCCCTGGTGGAACAAAAGATTTTTAGAGAAAACACTTCTCTGTGGATTGCTAAGCCCTCCGTTCCTTTCTAGTGGTAATACACATTTGGCACATTGCTTCTAAAATCAGGCAAACATATAAGGCTTCTTATGAAGTTATTTCCTCAAACAGAACAAAACTCATAGAAATCTTTTATACTGTAGAACAATATCTTCCTAATAAAAAACTGGAGGGAACCAATAACAGCAAAGAAAACCAAGGATTTACTGGGAAGGGTCAGAAAGAATCCTTCTTGAGGGTGTATCTGCACTAGACAATTCATGGAGTTTGATACTACTTCAACTACAATGGCTCAATGTGATGGCGTCCTGGAATTTGTAGTTTGGTCAGACACCAGCAATCTTTGGCACAGAAAGCAAAAGGCCTGGTAAAACTACAACTCCCCAAATTCCATAGCATTGAGCTATGGCAGTTAAAGTGGTTTCAAATTCCATTATTTCTATTAATGCAGATACACCTTAAAACTCCAGAGTCCCTGCCCGTCAAGATTGACAATATTGGCTACATGGCCTAACATTCAGGAGAAGTATACTGCTCAGGTAGCTCCCTTCTTGTCAGACACTGTGAAAGCATTGAGCAAAATGAAAAATGAAGAAATGGAAGCAGTGGATGAGTGCTTCCTGACACCAAAAGACAAAAGAAGGAGGCTATGTCTTCTCAGCAGTTGGGTATTGCTTAAGCCAGATTTTCTCGGGACTCCTGGGCGGAGGGTTGCGAGGGGATATAACCAAAGACCATCAGAAAACACAGTATTTTCTGTTGGTCATGGGCAGGCATGCCTGCTCTGGATGGGATTGTACAGCCATTGAAGGAACAAATGCACGGTTGAAAGTAGTTCTAGAGCCATCTTTGGTTGTTGGTGGCCCAGTGCAGCTCAGTATAGTGCCAAGTGTGTGGGCTGGAACTTTTCCTGAACCACTGTAATGTACTGTAATGTCCCAATTAAGATGTAATTATAACATTCTGCGCTTGAAGAGGACTCGGGGGCTGCAACTAGTGCAAAAGAATAGCAACAGTACACACAAGACTAACCTTCAAGGAGCTGCAGTGCCTGCAAGTTTGCTACTGATCTGGATTCAATTGGTGGTGGGAGGGGTGTGTGTGTGTGATGACAACAATTACAGTGATAAAAGGCTTGCTTAAAGGTAAAGGTTTCCCCTTGACATTGAGGCTAGTCGTGTTTTTTTGGTACCCACTTAAGATGTTGCTTTTTTAAGGAGCACTGTTGGGAATTAATTTAACTGAAATGTACATAGCTTTTCATTATTCTGGGTTTTATTTATTTATTTATTTATTTATTTACATCACTTATATCCCGCCCATATCAGCCCGCAGGCGACTCAGGGCGGTCTACATATCGGCACAATTCGATGCCATCAATACAATACAAAAGCAAAAACAATTAAGTGCATTTAGACAAAAAAGACAGTGCAATAAGAGAGAAGGCCCTGTCTCTCGTCCCCGCCAAGCGTGCTTGCGAAGCAGACGGGATCGAGAGCAGGGCCTCCTCAGATGATCTTAACTTCCTGGAGGGTTCGTAGGAAGAGATGCATTCGGATAGGTAGGCTGGGCCAGAACCGTTTAGGGCTTTATAGGCTAAAGCCAGCACTTTGAATTGGGCCCGGTAGCAAACTGGCAGCCAGTGGAGCTGGCGCAGCAGAGGAGTTGTGTGCTCCCTAAGCGCCGCTCCTGTTAGCAACCTGGCTGCTGCACGCTGGACCATTTGAAGCTTCCGGGTCGTCTTCAAAGGCAACCCCACGTAGAGCGCGTTGCAGTAATCTATGCGGGATGTAACCAGAGCGTGGACTACCGTGGCCAAGTCAGACTTCCCAAGGTACGGGCGCAGCTGGCGCACAAGTTTTAGTTGTGCAAATGCTCCCCTGGTCACCGCCGAAACCTGGGGTTCCAGGCTCAGCTATTGCAAGTACTTGTGATGTTTGACATGTTCTAACCTGTTTAAGCGCCTATTGTTTTAACCTGGAATTGTCTTTAATTCCTTATTATATTTGCACACCACCCAGAAAAATCTGCTATGAAGGAATATAAAGTTTAATAAATTAACTAATTAACAGTCAATAATTAACAGTGTTCTTTTCTTTTGCACTATTCTGGATTTGTTCTCTGCAAGCTGGTTTTCAAGAACATGAAGTTTCTTTCACAAGCAGATGACCAGCTGGATGATGACAACTAACATTATGATATATATATATTGTATGCAATTAGAAATGGAAGTGTTTTTCACATGTATAATTTTGTATATATACCAGACCTTTCCCTAATAAAAGCAAGAACAAGAGCAAAATGCAGATATTGAAAGGTGTCCTGCTCTTTTTTCTGACTTCTCGCCTTCCATATATTGTTTATTTTTAAAATGATATTTTTTTAAACAGGAAAGAAAACACTTGGAAACATGGCTGGGAAACCTAAGCTTCATTACTTCAAAGCAAGAGGCCGAATGGAAACCATCAGGTGGCTATTGGCTGCAGCAGGAGTAGAGGTTTGTCTTCAATGCTTTTCTCCAAATACATTTAACAACAACAACAACAAAAGCTGACACAATACGATGATTTAAAGATTGAATTGCAAAGACTTTGGCCAGTCAAGGTGGTCCCAGTGGTGATTGGCACACTGGGTGCAGTGCCTAAAGACCTTGACCTGCACTTAAACACAATCAGCACTGACAAAGTTACCATCTGTCAGCTGCAAAGGACCACCCTACTGGGATCTGCACACATTATTCGCTGATACATCACATAGTCCTAGAAAACTGGAAAGTGTCCAACGTGTGATCCAATACAACAACCAGTATTGTGATCTTGTTTGCTGTGTACTAACCTTGTTGTGTTTCAAATAACAACAACAACAACAACTTATTTGTACCCTGTCATATCTCCCCGGGGGAACTCAGGGCAGTTTCCAATAAAAGAGGCAAACATTCAATGCCGATAACACACAAACAACAGATAAACTTCAACAACAATAAATAAAACAATTGCAACATAATACATGTAGATATTCAACAGTATGGGGGGGGGGGCAGGATGGACAGAGGGTCTAACAGGAGTCCCCGAGCATCACCATCTGGGTCCACCCCTCCAGGAAGAATTGGAGCCACTGTAAAACAGTGCCTCCCAATCCCATACCGGTGAGGTGACCCAGAAGGGTACCATGGTCAATGGTATCAAACGCCACTGAGAAGTCCAGGAGAACTAGTAGGGACACTCTCCCCCTATCTAGCTCTCTTACTAGATTATTTTCAGAATTCATTTGAGTTATTGGCGTTTAGTGGTGAGGGTTAATTCCTTCACTTCAAGTTTGAAGGGAGTGATTTCATTTCATGGCAAGACTTCACCAGTTTCCTTTTAGGTCAAGAGAGTGTGACCTGCCCAAGGTAAGTTTTTGTAGTCAAGACTCAAAGTTATTTTAAAAATAGAAAATATTGACATTATAGGCCATTTTATATTATTAAATCCTTCCAGTTATTTGCCATTTTATTTATTTCTTTGCTAGTTTGAAGAGCAATATATTCAGTCAAAGGCAGATCTAGAAAAGTTAAGACAAGGTGAGTATGTTGTCTAAATATTTAATATGTCTTCTTTGGTGATCATGAGTGCTTTATTGCTCCCTTTGTAGCTAAAGGCAAAACTCGAATTGATGGTGATGAAGCAGAAGGACTTTATGTGGATTCTTTGTGTAAAGATCACATGGGCCACTATGGAAACCATAAAACAGATGTTTTTTTGTATAGGACTTGTTAGTATTGTTCTGCATTATGAAAGGTAATGGTAAAGGTTTCCCCTAACATTAAGTCTAGTTGTGTCTGACCCCTTGGAGGTGGTGCTCATCTCCATTTCTAAGCCAAAGAACCAGCAATGTTGGTAGGCACTTCCAAGGTCATGACTGCATGGAGCGCCGTTACTTTCCTGCCAAGGCAGTACCTATTGATCCACTCACATTTACATGTTTTCAAACCGCTAGGTTGGCAGAAGCTGGGGCTAACAGCAGGAGCTCACCTTGCTCCCCAGATTCGAACTGCCAAACTTTTGGTCAGCAAGTTCAGCAGCTAAGAGGTTTAACCTACTGCGCCACCAGGGAGCTCTCTCTATTATGTACCAACTACAAAAGCACAGTTGTAGATAGGAATAAGTTGCAGTTTCTGAATTATTGCAAACTTAAGATAAACCTATCATGGGGTTTTTGTGGTGAGATTAATCAGAAGGGGTTTGCCATTGCCTCCTTCTAAGGTTGGGACTACACTGCCCTGTATCCCAGATTATATACTTATCCCAGATTATCTGGTAGTGAAGACTCGTATAATTGCGTGCGCAAGTGCAATACACCTCCCACAGCCAGCCCAAGAAGTACACACACACACGATGTGGGATAAACAATGGCCACAACTCATTTATTGCAAACAGGAACGAGGGTTGGCAGCCAAGCATGGGTCCTGGCAGGCCAAGTGCCTGCTGGGGAGCCCGGGCAGCCTTAAGAAGGCTGACCGGAAAGAGGGAGAGGCCAGCTAAGGCCTCACCTGTGGTGGGCGTGGTCAATAGGCCATTGGCCCCCTTGACCCACTGGCGGAGGGGGCTTCTGGGAGGAAGAAGCCCCCCTTAGGCGAGAATGGCGGTGGGGGATACCCTGCACCGCAACTTCTTTGGCCCGGTAAGTCGGACCATGCTATTCCAGTTCAAAGCAGATAATCTGGGATCAGATCCTGGAATATAGGGCAGTCTAGATCCAGCCATGAGTTTGTGAGCTACCCCAGGTGTCCAAGAAATCACTTTCAAAGCATGACTTGAGACGTTTCCTATAATCCTAATAATATGCATGAGAAGGAAAATAAACTATTCCCTCCCCCATTTTACCTTTCCCCCTCAAGATGGATTCCTACTCTTCCAGCAAGTGCCCATGGTGGAAATTGATGGGATGAAGCTGGCGCAGACTCGAGCCATTCTCAACTACATTGCAGAAAAATACAATCTCGGTGGGAAGGACATCAAGCAGAGAGCACTGTAGGCAACAATTCAGCATTTGGTTACTACATGTCTGTGTCTGTTTATTGTGCAAGATATGAGAAATCTGGTTTGTCCTTTGATCTGCTGACAGGTTATGATTCAGCCTTTTTCAGCTCACTGCCACTGCTAGTCGTGGAGCAGTATTGACTCGTCATTGAGTTCACATAGACTGGGTTCATTAGAAGTCAATCATTCTTTCTCTAGAGTTCATCCTTGAGCCTGGACTCTTCTGTTGAACCTCAGCTCTAGCCATTGGTGTCATTTAAGGGATGATGGGAATTGCATCCAACAACAACACCAATTACTCAACATTCCTCCAGCCATTCATTTACTTCCACCAAACTTAAATGTAATACATCTTTCCCAATGTTTTGAGTGGGTTATATGGAAAAGAATTACATGACAGAATGTGAGCATTTTTTTTAAAAAAAGGCTCTTTGTTTGAAGGAATTGGGTGCAGACAACATTAGACTGTAGGTGGAGGTAAAGGTTTTCCCCTTACATTAAGTCTAGTCGTGTTCAACTCTGGGGATTGGTGCTCATCTCCATTTCTAAGCCAGAGAGCCATCGTTGTCCATATACATCTCCAAGGTCATGTGGCCAGCATGACTCCATGGAGTGCCGTTACCTTCCCGCTTGAGCAGTACCTATTGATCTACTCACATTTGCATTTTTTGAACTGCTAAGTTGGCATAAGCTGGGGCTAACAGCGGGAACTCACGCCACTTCCTGGATTCAAACCTGAGACCTTTCGGTCAGCAAGTTCAGCAGCTCAGCGCTTCAACCCACTGTGCCACCTCGGGATCCAGACTCCTGTACAAACATGAGGAAGCTGCACTGTATTGAGTTTATCAGGCGTGCATCTGCACTGCAAAGTTATTGCAACATTAAACCATTTTAAGTGTTGTAGCTCCATCCTGGGCTTTGTAGCTTTGCAACATTCAATAGGATGGAGTCATGGTATCAAACTATAACAATTCTACAATGTGGATGCATTGGTGATCAAAATAATCTGAAAAATGTTTTCCATCATCAGAGAAGAGGTGTTGTGCATTTCAGTTTTTCAGAGAAGCCGACATAGTATATAATAACTGGTTAGTAAGATTCACAGAATTCTCCCCCCCCCCTTTTTTTTTTATTTTACAGAATTGATATGTATTGTGAAGGCACTATGGACCTGAATGAAATGATCATTCACCTGCCCTTCAAGCCAGCTGATCAGAAGGAGAAGGAAACTACAGCAATAATTGAAAAAGCCACTGACAGATATTTCCCAGTCTATGAAAAGGTATTTATGCGAGAAGGCATTTGCCTAAGCTCAATAACTGTTCATCTTTGGTAGGTCTCAGTACAACTGTTTCATATGTGAAACTGTTTCATCAGTGACAATGGAGAAGCGAATATCCTGCAGTAGAGGCAACATATTTCAGCATTAAAATTTAGTAGTGAATTTTGTCAATGTCTATTGGGACAACCTGCATGACAGGGAACTGTGTAAGAGATCCTGATACACTGACGCTAATGGTACTGCAATTCCATTGCTTAATGGGGCCATCTGCACATCAGGAACCACTGAGCTCTGGTGGCTGCTCTTACACGTTGGTCTTGAGGACATAGATACATTTGTGTTCCCTTACTGAGAATACAGGTTTTGCACAGTGGTGGAATCCAGCTTTAGCTGATTGGGAGCACTTCCAGACAATGCCAAAAAGTGGGATTAAAAAGAGGGGCAAAATAACCCGGGACCTCAGAGAAGGTCCCACACAGACATGCCAGTCCTGGGCTTTCCTCCCTTGCTGTCCTCATTGGCCTCCCTTCTGTATCTTGGGATAAAATAGAGGGCAGACAGAGGACATCTGGCAGGAGATACACACACACACACACACACACAGAGAGAGAGAGAGAGAGTTATGCAGTGATCCGTATATGTGCATGTGCACATATGAGATTCAGCGCATACTAGAGTTAATTTTTTTAAAATACTTCCACTAGATTTCTCTCTTCCATAATTATTTATTAAACTTCTGTGTAATATTATACAGTGTAAAATATAGAGTTTCAGAGAATTTTAATGGTTCTCTGTTTGTGCTTCCTTTCAATAAGCTGTACATTTGTTTGACAGCACAATCAGCTGATCAGCTGTTTCAGGTTTTTTAAAAGGGACATCGGCTGGAGCAGTCTCCCCAAGGGGAAGAGAAGGAAAACACACGTATTTTGGAATGCAGGGTCACGCAGACCTATGAAGATGTCCATCTTTTGGTCAGAAACGATATAAAAAGGGACCTTTTTATTCCACAGTTTCCCTCCTCTGTAGTGATTCAGCGCACGTTTAGTGCTGACATTGTCTAGCCACTCCCCTTTTTGAAACGGGAACTCCTGTTTTTAAAGCCCTGTCTAGATGGGCCCTGTAAATCAGTTAACCATGACACAAAACCACAAGGATGCATGGTACAATCAGAGAATCATATAAGGGAATGGGACTACAAGGGCTATTGAATTAAATGCCTGCCATTTAAGTTGCTTGTTTGTTGTATCCAAACTTTGACTGTGGCTCTTCAAAAACATAAGCCAGCCCTAACTGAAACCCTCTGTTTCTTGCTCTGTAGGCTCTCAAAGACCATGGACAGGATTTTCTGGTGGGGAATCAACTCAGCAGAGCAGATATCCAGTTGCTTGAAGCCATTTTATCTACAGAAGAGCTGAAGGCTGATGTCCTCTCCAAGTTTCCTCTTTTAAAGGTAAACAACCAGTTTTGGCAAGACAGGAAGTGCATCTGCACTGAGCAATGAGAGCAAATGGCCAACAAATCTACTTTGTGGTGGGTAAACAATGCAAAGAGCCGATCTGGATTAACATGGGCCCAAGCTGCTTAACGTTACCCTGAATTGCCTTAATCAAAGTTATGAATTGTTATGAATTTATGAATATTCTCCTCCAGAATTGGAGGCAAACCATGAATTTGGGCCCATACAAAGAATTGGGCTGATTCTGAGATGGCTCAGGTGCCTTGGGGATTGGGATAGCACTCTCTGTCTCTCAGTCCCATTTCCCCCACTTCCATTCTCCTTTTTGGAGCAGCAAGTGGGTGAAATATGGGCCATACTGGTCACTCATCACCTGGAGTGAGTGAATGGATGATGGAATTGTAGAAGGGAGGGGGGGGGGTGGAGAGGGTGATTCCTCTTCTTTCTCCTCCCACGTTGCTCTGGTAAGGAGTAGCTGGCCTAAACCATCCTATGCTTATTAACCGCAGTGACAAAAAGAACAGAGTTAGAGGGATGGTAATGGGGCCCACCAATGAGACTAACTCCTGCCTCCATAATGGGGGGCAATCCGGCATTTGCCGTTGCCACCCAGGATAAATCACCTGTGTAGAACTGCCCATGGAATGGCAACACAGCCATGAATTTTGCTATGTCATGTATTCATGTTCTCAGACCCTGGATCATGTTCTGGAAATCCTGTAGGAATGCATAGTAGTTGAAAGGGCTAGCATGCAATAGAGGCGAGTGGGAAAACTCAGACCCTCCTGTTTTCAGTTCCAATAATCAAAGTATTATTGTTGGGCAAGGGTTATGGGACTCAAAGTCTAAAGTAGTAATACAAACCAAGAAATGAATAAAGCAAAATAATCAGATGGGGCATACAAAAAAACCCAATTATTTTGCAGGAATAAACATTTCCCTTCAGTATATTACATTGCTATACAACTATAGAAAGTACATAGCTAGGTAGTTAATCTTAGCATATATTTTTTTCATTCCCAGGTCCTGCAACATTTCTCTGTTGTTCAGAAAGCAGTTGACTGTCGTAACATCTGTTGTGGCAGGAAAAAATAGGGTCCCTGTTTCACACACCCCCCCCACACACACACACACACACAGATCACCAGCTGCTTCCCACTCAACAGAGGAGATTCATCATCTACATAATAGGAAATTTGGTTTAGGGGGCTTAAATAATCCATAGGCATCTCAGAATTAAAAAGACTTGTAGGGATTGGTAATATGAAGCAGTCACAAATGCAGGATTTTCTAAAATACTTTTGCCTAATATATTCATTTTGTCTTTGTCAAGGGTTGAAGGTTTATGCTGCTCAAATTACAAATATTGTGGTATACTTAGGCAATCCCTTGTAGGCCAAGGATAATGGTCCTCCAATCTACGCAATGGATACGTAGGTGGCTGGGGAGCCCTATTCTTGTTCCGCATGTTCTTCCATAGTGAAAGGATTGGTTTCCAGGTGGAAGGCGGACCTGGTCAGGGTTGGCTTGATGCTCCATCCTCTTAGCATGTTTCTCTCTTTTGCCCTCCATTTGTGCCTCTTCAAATTCCGCAGCACTGCTGGTCACAGCTGACCTCCAGTTAGAGCGCTCAAGGGCCAGGGCTTCCCAGTTCTCTGTATCTATGCCACCATTTTTAAGGTTGACTTTAAGCCCATCTTTAAATCGCTTTTCCTGTCCACCAACATTGTGTTTCCTGTTCTTAAGTTGGGAGAAGAGTAATTGCTTTGGGAGACTGTGATCAGGCATTTGGACAACGTGGCTAGTCCAGCGGAGTTGATGGCATAGGAGCCTTGCTTCAGTGCTGGTGGCCTTTGCTTCTTCCAGAGCACTGACATTTCTCTGCCTGTCTTCCCAAGAGAATTGCAGGATTTCCTTTTGAGGCAACACTGATGGAATTGTTCCAGGAGTTGAGTGTGACATCTGTAGACAGTCCACGTGTCACAGCCACATAGCAGGGTTGGAAAATGCAGCACCTTTTCTTTATGTAAAATTCTTGTCCGCCCGAACACACACTGTCTCTCTTTTTTCTTTTTTAGGCTTTGAAAACAAGACTAAGCAACATCCCTAACATTAAGAAGTTTTTAGAACCCGGTAGTCCAAGAAAATCACCCCCTGATGAGAAAATGATTGCAGAAGCAATAAAAGCTTTCCAATGATTTGTTTCACTGAAGATTGTAGCTGGTCACCATTGTATGTTCAAGTAAAACACAAAAATGAAGATGGGGAAATGATTTCAAATCATCCCAAAGGTCTGGGTAAATCCACTCAATTACATTTAGAAGCTATATTAATAACAGAACCACATGACTCACATTGTACCATTAGACTAACATGAAATAAATATCTTACAGTATTTGTGATTTACTTAAGCATTTATTTGACTGATGTGTAACATGGCTGATGCACCACAATCACGCTGATAGACTTGACCTTCTGATGGAAATATACATGGATATGACTGGAAAACGTCAGTGTGGTTCCTCAGTTTCTGTATTAGAGGACAATCAAGTCATGTCTTATTTACCTGAGATCCGTCCACACCATGCAGCTATAGTGCTCTAGTTCTAATAGTTATGACACCCCATTAAATCCTGGGATTTGCAGTTTAGGGAGGGCAATTCAAAATTCTCATCCAGGGGACTCTAGCTACCTAATATCTTCCAGCAGGTTATTCCACAGTCCTGGCACATGTCAAAGCCTCAGCACCCAAATAACACCAGAGTTTATATTAACAGTCCAAGCTCAAGCCGATAGTCCCACAGAGCAAACCTCACCTGATGTAAATTTCTACAGACTTTTGTAATGTCTGCACCTGGAAAGCCTTTTCTGAAAGGCTTCTGCTGGCTTTTTGAACTCAGGAGATCACAAGGGTTTCATCTATATTAATAAAAATGCAATGTTCATTTGTGGGATTAACATAACTCAAAAACCACCAGACGAATTGCTGCCAAATTTGGCCACATGATACCTACTAACCCAAGGAGCGACCATCACTCAAAAAAAAAAAAGATTTTGTCATTTGGAAGTTGTAGTTGCTGGGATTTATAGTACATCTACAATCAAAGAGCATTCTGTACTCCACCAATGATGGAATTGAACCAAATGTGGCACATAGGACTCCCATGACCAAAAGAAAACACTAGAAGGGTTTGGTTGGCATTGACCTTGAGTTTTGGAGTTGTAGTTCACCTACACGCAGAGAGCACTTTGGACTCAAACAATGATGGATCTGGACCAAACTTGGCACAAAAATTCCATATGCCCAAATATGAACACAGATGAAGTTTGGGTGAAATAGACCTTGACATTTGGGAGTTGTAGTTGCTGGGATTTATAGTTCACCTACAATCAAAGAGCATTCTGAACCCCACCAACGACAGAATTGGGGCAAACTTCCCACAGAAAACCCTCATGACCAACAGAAAATACTTAAGGCCATCCAGTCCAACTGCCTTCACCGGAACAAGAAAACGTAATCAAAGCCCTCCTGACAAAGGGCCATCCAGCCATAGATATAGATATATAGATATTATTCACATGCACAAAGATATAGTATCATAGATGTGAAAGGGGCTCCTAAAGAAGGACAATTATATGTTGCCTTTTTCCAGGGTAGGCAAACCAGACAATCTCCACATCAACACTGGCAAAAAAAACAGCAATACTGTTCACCCTCAAGCATAAAGACATTAAATATATTAGAAACCAACACCTTCTCATTATTTTCCAGATCACCAGACTGGGCCACAGCAACACGTGGCAGGGGACGGCTAGTGCTAAATAAAAATAAGACAAATCTATGGATACAATAAATTTTGCCATAGGTGTAGGGTGGAAATATCTCTGAAAAATGAAGTGATTGAAACTATTTGGGGCTTGGCCCTTGGAACTTGCACCCTGTTTTATAGTTTGAATGGAAGGGAATTTTGATTTGGAGAACTGAATCCATGTTTGAGTTTGAAAGAAATCCACTTCTCTCATATGGCTTAGTAACTGAAATATTACCTCATCCACACAAGAGCTGCAAAAAAAAAAAAAAGTCCCAGCAATTTCCCTGGTGAATATAAGAAGTGCAAATGACACATCAATGATCTCTGATTATCTGTGCATATATGTTAAATGCTGTGATACAACCAGATTCACCCACGGATGTCTATTTAGGTACCGTACTTAAGAAGATGCATGGTTACTCACGGTATGGCAGAAATGTGAAAGGCACATTTAGAGAATATTCAGGTGATTTCACTAAACATGATTGCTGTGTACATGACAGGGTCTTGTTTTAGGATTAAAAAGAAATTGAATTAAAGATCCATTTGTTGTCATGCTGACTCACCAACGTAAGTGGCATTTTCTGACTGAGGCAATATATTGTTGACTCAGGCAATCCTAGGGGCAGGATAACAAAGATTTAATGTCTTCACTCATGTTTTTTTTCTTTTTCTTTTTGCCAATGACAAGGGCAGGCAATTTGGGAAACCCATATCATGTCAAACTATTGATCCTCCAGTTATGGTTGAATTGTAGCTCCCATTATTCATCATCACCAGTTTATACTGGACTGGGGCTGATGGGATTTGCATTCCAACAATATCTGGAGAACCAGACTTTACTTGGCCTTGATCAATAGACTATCTAAAACTAGCCCATTCCCCTACCAGCACTGTCCTCCTCACCTGCACAAGTTGGAAAAGGATGAATGATCACAGGTATTGACCATGAGACCAGAACTAGAATGGAAATTAAATGACGAGTCTTAAGAAGTAAAAAACAAAAAAGTGTGTTTATGTGTGCTTATGCACACACTACTTCAAAGAGTCACTCTTCAATGCAGGTAGGGCAGCAATAATGGTGTGAGGGCTGGCATACCCATCCCCATGCTCCCTCACATATTGGTACTGAGATTACCAGAACACAGCAGACTTTAGCGTTTATCAAACTGAAGATTCATCAAATAGTAAAATCTTGCCAAAAATAGAAGTGTAACTATATGATATCATTAAAAGGGTGTAAAACTAATAAAGGATATTAGCCAGCAGATGGATGGTGGGACGTTTGAAGATGTTGGTTGGTCTCCTTGTTTTGTGGGTTTTCTTTTTCTCTTGCTGTTTTGTAATTTTTTTATAGTCGTTTAGTTTTTGTTATATAGATTTACTTTTATATATCTAAAAAAATATCCTGGGTATTTAATTTTAAAATTGAAAAAATAAATTTTATAAAAGACCCCCTCCCCCACTCCTCAACATCTCCACTTACTATACAGCAGCAATTGTGATGCATAGGATCCGTCCCCCTTTGTATCAGGAAAATGTGCCTTACAATCCCACCCCACTTCACACAAGGAATCTCAAGAGGCAATTGCAAGAGGAGTCTTGCTTCTGCCTGGAACACCAGAGATCACTTACACTATGTAACAAAATTTGAAACATTTTCAGTTTCCAGGTTTAAAAGTGTTACTTGCTGTTGTTTAATTATGCAGGACTTACTTTGAAAGTAGTTTTTATACTCCAGAAACTTCATTTTTGTGACTGACACAAACTATGTTGAATTGGTTGAGACTTTATGAGATATTCTTGGAAAAACTATAGCAGAATATGCTGTAGGATGTCCTGCAAAAACAATAATAAACCTTTTCCATGTTTTTATGATGGAACCAATTAGGAAACCCCCACTACCTCTGAGGATGCTTGCCATAGATGCAGGCGAAACGTCAGGAGAGAATGCCTCTAGAACATGGTCATATAGCCCGAAAAAACCTACAACAAACCAATTAGGAAATTGCATGTATAAACTAGGAACAAAAATCCCACCCCTTACAATCCCATCCCACTTCCTCACACAACAGATCTCTGTCATGAGAGGGAATTGTGAGGGAGTCTTGCTTTTTCCTGGAACACAAGAGATTACTTACAGGAGTGAGTGGAAATGTCAGCCAGGTGCTTAACTGGACTGAATGAAATGTCTGCTACCTGGGAAGTGGGAATTTGTGGAGGGGGGGGGGGTGTATGGGAGCCATTGTATAACTCCCCAATGGGGTAGCAGTCATGAATTGACTTGACCTTGAGATTTAAGGTGTAAAATTCTCATCTGGTTTTATTGTACGCATAGGCAAGTGTGTATGTTTTGTATGTTCTGCATGTTTTGATATGGTCGAAATTGACTAATCAATAAAGAATTGTTGTTGTTGTTGTTACTCATCTGTTTACATATGATTTTGATCCGATTTTAATTGTCATTATTTCATACAAAGGAATTTTGTGAGTTGCAGTTAATGAGATGCATAGTACACTCTCCAGTGGAGAGCAGTAGCAGGCATACTGGCACTTGCTAACAGAAGCATTTCTAAGTTCCTCAATCAATTGTAATTATCAGTATTCTTAAGGAATGGCAAAGGAGATGGTGTCCCCTCTGTCAAATGGCAAAACCGATGTTTACTTTTTAGATATTAAATAAGAAAAAGAATGGTGAAATCTGTGGGTGCAAAATCCATGGATACGGTTGCTGACAAGAGTATTACAGTCTGGAAAGGGGTGAGAGGGAAGGCAGTCCCATGGGCAGTGGCAAACAGAATTGCCCATTTGTACTGTGGGTGAGAAGGCACGAGTACAGCTGGCACACCTCTGTGTTTGCAGAGGGGAGTGTCTTCTTCTGATAGGCTGTTCTCCCCTTGCCCTGAGGCTTTTCTAACTGAGTTGCACACGTTCAGAGCCTTGGTTAGGAGAAGAACTTGCAGGTCTTTCATCTCTTCCAGCAGCAGGTGAGTAGCCAAGCAGACAAAAACCTCCAGCCTTTGCCAGCTCAAGGTTGCCTTCCTTGGGAACTTAGGACTCTGGCAGGAAGAAGCATCTCCAAGGCTTCTCTTGTTACTAACTTTTTTCCCCTGATTTGCAGCTCTGGCAGGAAGTCTTCTCTTATTGTGAACAGTAAACTTACAGACCCCACCCCTCCCCTGGTGCTTCCAGATGAAATTTTCTTAGGAAAACCTAACACCTGATTTGCAGCCTCTGGCAGGAAATTTTTTCTCTCCTCCCAAGCCCCCCCCCCTTCATGTTGTGCTTTTCTTTGTCCCTTTTCTAAGGAGAGAGAGAAAAATCTGAGGTAATTAAGGGGAAGGTGGTGGGTTAGTGACCCTCCTTACCTTGGGGCTCACTCAACCTGTATATGGACTACCTAGCTTGCCAGATCTTGGTTGCAGATGGGCCATTGGCTGGATAGCTACCAACAGTTGCAGCTGAGTGACTAGACTTGCAAAGTATCCCAGTCTTTGAACTGTTTGTCTTGATGTGAGCATTGCTTATATACATGGCATTTCTTCCTGGACACCATTTAGTGGCTAGTAGTAGCTATGGTGATACGTTAAGAGCTAAGTAAATATATGTATACAGAAGAAGAATAAATCTTCCTGTTATGAATCCATCAGAGTTACCAATCCCATTTCCAATTCTAATTTTATTTAAGGCAGTCAAATTGGGCAGCAATGTACTGCTGGCTTTAATCAAAGTGCAAAGTAGCAAACATACTTAAAAGTTTCTTTTTCCTTTTCACACACTACTCTTGGAATCTTTAATCTTGTTAAGAGATTATACATTTAAAAAGAGTGTGTGTGTGAGAGAGAGAGAGAGAGATAGAGAGAGAGAATGCAATACATCGAGGATGCCAAGTTGTTGTGGTGGGAGAGAAAGAATGCTGAATTATGTGCTCTTGAAGGGGAGGGGATACATTTTTTGGGAGGCCCACTGGTGTTGGTGAGACAGAATGGAAACTTTCAACTGTTGAAGTGCTTTTGTAAACTGAAAAACAAGAAGCAGAAGAATCCCTTTGGATTTGAATCCGGGAAAGGGTCCCCTTGTCTTAAATGTGTAGGTCGGTGGTGGCTGGAAGACTGCAGTAGTTTGGCCTTGGGCAGCTGACACGTTGATTGAGTGCTGGCATATTCTGATAGGAAAAAAAAACAAAAGAAAGAAAGAGCATTCTTTTGAAAGAAAAAGCATTCAAAAAGCTTTAGGAGAAGAGGTGGAAGGGAGGTTTCTAGAGCTGAAAGGCTGCAGGAAAAGGGGAATTACACAACGTTGGTGGGCGGAGGCAGTGGCAACTGGTCAAAGAGTGTCCTACCTTGGCACCATTCCAGGTCTCTTCAGGGACAAGAGCCAAGAAAATCATTGCCTTCCTCCAGGCAAGCACTGCCACCTCTACAGTCACATTCAACTTGGGAACATTGCATTCATCACCCATCTTGTCTGTTTTGGGAATTTGGGCATGACTAATATTTGGAAAAATCACCATGCCGTCTCATCATACATATATCCCTTCTTGTCTATTTTGGGGGTACAGGCATGGCTCTCTAGGAATCCCTAAGTCCTCAGTGTGACTCTGCAATCAACATCCTCTAGTCATGCTGGAAAACATAGAGATTTCCAGAGATAATGCCTTTTTAGGATTTTCTAGATTCTTCAGTACAGTTTTGTATTCATCTTCCAGTGAGAATCAACAAAAGTCATGCTGGAAGACCTTAGACCTCTTCACATGGGACAAATTTCAGTGGCAATGCCAGTTCCGCAGCAGCATTGCTACAGAACCTACTGGCTCCGAGCAGGCCTGTAGCCAGTATTTCGATTCGGGGGGCGGGGGCTGAGTTTGTTTCGGGGGGGGGGGGGCTGAGTCTGAGTGAAAGAGGTTCTACCCTAGCAAACCTTTTGTATCATTACCTCAATACCCCCATGCATATGGGATATATTGAGTATGGTGATCAGATCATGATATCAAGAAACATAACAGTTTAAATAATGCACCAGTAAGGCTTTTTCGCGAACCACCATGAGAATTTGGGGGGGGGGCTGAAACTCCCAAGCCCCCCCCCCCCCCCCCCCACCCCCCCTGGCTACATGCCTGGCTCCGAGGCACACCAGAGAAGTACTTCCAGTGTAGCTCTGTGGCAAAACTGTAGCAGAACCGGAGTCACTGGTGAAAAAAAGCTGGTGGTGGCAACATGGGAGGTTTTCCATGGTTGCATTGCTCTCAACAGGGCAAACTGACTGGTGGATGCTTCCCCCCCCCCCCCCCATATGATAAGGTAGTAGGGAAGCCAGGATGGCACAGGGTATGGGGTGACAGGATCTCATGCCTCTGGAAATGTGCCACCAGAATTGCCACAATCTGCAGTGATTCTGGCAGCACGTCTGAAGAGGTTCCTAGAAATTCCTAGAGAGTTCTCTCTGTTAAAAAAATATATAGCAACATTTTACTTTCATGGTGATCTTGTGACTCCAGATGGGCAAATGTTCAGGATAAGGATTTTTCCAGCCTTTGGAAACTGAACAGGATTGTACCATTTAGACCATTGCGCTGAGACCAAGTTTCAGTGGACATGAGTGTAGTGAAAAAGGAGTGGCCAAACCTATATTGTCTTTCTTTGACATGAGGCTAAACTGGAAATTACAAGACACATTTTTCCTATATACACATATCTATATACACATTGGGGTGTGTTTTAGAATCATGGGTGCATCTTATGTATTTTTGTTGGTAGTGGTGATACTGAAATTAGGGTGCATCTTACAATCAATGGTATCTTATGATTGAAGAAATATGGTGCCCTTGGTTTACCCTGCAGCAAGATTGAGAAATCCCTGGATGTCATGAAGACAGACAGGAGCAACTTCATGGCAAGTGCATGTTACTCTGTCTATATGCAGACAGTATTGTTAATATTATTTAGTAGTGCATATGTACTGTATGCAATTGGAAATAGGAATGGTTTTCCAAATAATAACACTGCATATCAAATCACTGTATATCAGATCAGCTGTCCTCTTCCTTCAATGTCCCATCCTCCATATGTTATTGTATTTTAAAGCGATATTTTTGTCAAAATAGGGAAGGAAACATTTGGAAACATGGCTGGGAAACCTAAGCTTCATTACTTTAATGGAAGAGGTCGAATGGAAACCATCAGGTGGATGTTATCTGCTGCTGGAATTGAGGTTTGTTTTCATCCCCCACCCCCCACCCCAAAATATGGCATATCACTTTTCAAGATTCCTTTGGGCTACTGGGTTTTATTGGTTAATTCCTTCACTTTGGGTTTGGAAGGGAGCACTTTCATTTCATTCCCAAACTCACCCCTTTACTTGGAGATTGAGAGCATGTGTCACTCTTTCCATGTGTTTCCTCCCAAGCTTCAGAGACTTTTTAAGAACAAGAAATACTAACATCAGGGTGTCTTTGACATTATGAAATCTTTCAAATCACTTACCTTTTTGTTTCTTTATTTGCTAGTTTGAAGAACAATTTATCCAGTCAAAGGCAGATCTAGAAAAACTAAAGAAAGGTATGTATGTTGTCTAAACCTTTAATGTCTCTTCTTTGGTGATTTAAACTATATAGGATAAATAAATGCATTTGTGACTAACTACCCATGTTCTGCATTATGTACCAAATATGTATATGTGGTTTCATGTCAGAACCTGTTGTTGATTGCCTTTAAGTTGGACCCCATTGTGGGGTTTTTATTGGTTATATTATTTGTTCAGAGGGATTTTGTTCCTGTTTCCTTTGAGGCTGACAGTATGCAACTTGCCCAATGGGTTTCCATAGCTAACTGGGTATTCAAATCCTAGGATGCTTCCAGACAGCACTAAAACACGAGTTTTAGTGAGGGGCAAAAAATCCTGGGACTTCAGGAGAGGTCCACATACAGACCTGTTGTCCCGGGATTTCTGCATCCATTGTCCAAACTTTATGCTTTGTTCTGAGAGTTAGAGGCTCCCAAGATGGTTGCCATGGGATTTCCACCAGAAACTGGCAGTTTTTTTTAAAAAAAATCTGCAAAATGCAGATATGCAGAGATTTGGTTATGTGTATCACCACATAAGTTCCGTTCTTTGTTCTGGCCAGAAAAACTGTGTCCTCCTCATGTTTCACAAAGTATCCCGCACACAAACAAACCTCATGGGGTAGGACCACTACTGCCCAAGTCAGCAGTACACAATCAAAGAGGAACACACACTTTCAAGCCAGGATCAGAACTTTGTCATTATTGACACTTTTTACAGCCTGGCTTCCTGGCCATCTGTCCAAACAGATTTGGTTGTGTACTCATGGCATCAAGCAACAGGGTGCTGTTCCTGGGTTATATATGGCTGTTCCTGATTGATCTTCTTGTAAAAAAATGTACAACATTTACAAGGGGTCACAACTTTGTCCTGGCCAAAGAAAATGTGCCCTCCACACGTTTCATGAAGTTTCTGGTACACAAAGTTTTTGCCTTCTCCTCAAGTGTTGTAGTTCATTCATCATAGATATACACTATATTGATTCTTATTCAAAAACTAGGGTGAATATTTTGGCTATCCTGCATTGTTTGTGTAGAAAATAAACTGATTTCTCTTCAATTTTCCCTCCATAAGATGGATTCCTGCTTTTCCAGCAAGTGCCCATGGTGGAAATTGATGGGATGAAGTTGGTGCAGAGCCGAGCCATTCTCAACTACATTGCAGAAAAATATAATCTCTCTGGGAAGGACATCAAGCAGAGGGCACTGTGAGCGACATTTCTACATTTAGTTAATGAATGTTTGCTTCTGTTTGTTGTGAAAGATATGAGAAATCTGGTTTGCCCTATGCTCTGTCAATAATGTATGCGTCAGCACAGTTCAACTCTTTGCTACTGTAAGTTGCAACTCAAAAGTTCTGAGTAGACCACTATTTAGACTGGGGTCCCCTTCTATACAATTGTATAAAATTGAGATAATTTGCTTTGAACCGGATTATTTGGCAGGGTAGACCCAGATAATCCTGTTCAAAGCAGATAATCTTGATTATCGGTTTTGATAATCTGTATTATATGACAATGCAGAAGGGGCCTGGGTTAATTGGAAGCCAAGCATTCTTTCTCCAAAGTTCATCTAGTCTGGGGTGGGCAGGTTGTGTTCTTTTGTTTGTTACTGAACTCCACTTCTCATCAGCTCTAGCCCTTGTTCTTATTGTAAAGAGATGATGCGTGTTGCACCCAACAACACCTAGAGGGTTACATGTTATTTACCTTTGCTTCAGCCATTAATTTAATCCCAACAAATGGGAAATTAATGCACCTTTCCCAGTGCTTTGTGTAAATTATATGAAAAATTAATTATATGGAAAAAATTAAAATGCTCTTCATTTGAAGGAACGCAGTGTGAACAATATTAAACTGTAATCCTTTACAAACATTTATGAGTAAGCTTCACTAAATCCAGTTCATCAGGGGTGTATCCACACTACAGAGTTATAGCAGGAAGATACCATTTTAAAGGTCATAGCTCCACCCTATGGAATACTGGGATGTGTAGTTTTTGTAGAACAGCACCATGACAGTTAATGCAGGTGAAACGTCAGGAGAGAATGCCTCTAGAACATGGCCATATAGCCTGAAAAAACCTACAACAACCCAGTGATTCGGGCCATGAAAGCCTTCGACAATACATCAACCTGTTATAATTATACAGTATGGATACACTGCGGATCAAAAAATAGAAAGATGGATCTTATTCAAGATGAGAGTCTGAGTACTGTGCTTTCAGTCTTACAAAGCAAATTTTGTGACACAAATGAATTGGAAGCATCATGAAAGATTCTCTTTTTCTTCAACAGAATTGATATGTACAGTGAAAGCTCTTGGGATCTGGGTGAAATGATCATGATGCTGCCCTGGAAATACACTGATCCGAAGGAAAGGGAGAAGGAAACAATTGCGGTCCTTGAGAAAGCCACTGGCAGATATTTCTCAGTTTTTGAAAAGGTAGGAAGAAACTGTGCTATGAGAAAAGGTGGGTTGCTTAAGCTCAACAAATATTAGTCATTGGTAGCACAGCTATTTGGAATACCAGAAACTTGTAACAGTGGACAGGAATAAAGAGGAGCTGAGGCCCTGCAAGAGAGGCTACATTTCATAATTTAGTAGGGAATTGAGCCCACCTGCACAAACCACCACTGTATGAGAGTTCCCAAAATGGCAGCCCCATTTTCAGTAGCACTCATGGTGTTGTGATGCCCATTGCACAATGGGACCCATAGGGCTATGGTGGCTTATCTTACACAGTGGACTTGAAGACTTTTAGGTTGAAACTACAATCCCACATAATCCAGTTTCAGAAAGCAGATGAATTAACTGCATTGAATTAGATTATATTGCTGTGTAGCCTCATATAATCCAGTTCAATGCATTTAATCTGCATTCTGAAATGTAATGATATGGCAGTGGAAATCCAGCCCAAGAATACAAGTGTTGCACTTTGGTGCAGTTCACCTTCCTGTGATCATAAGATGGTTTATCGTGACACAAGTGCTTAAACAGAAACTTTGCAGAAATTGAAATAAGGAGAATCTTCAGGCCAATACATTGTTAAAGTGTTAGATGCTCCTGATCTAGTCTGCTACTGATATTTGGAGTCCTCCGGTTATCTTATATAGCAAACTGCCCATGGAAACATCTGGACACTGTTGTCCAGTGCAGAACGTTGGTATTCAATTCAGGATCATGGAAGTGGAATTGTGCATGGGATACCACTGTGCATGCAGTTGGGCTTTTCCACCTGTCCTTTTGGAAATTGGTGGTATGACTCTTTTGGTTATGTATTCCATTTCACAATGTTGCCATTCAATACAGGAATAGCATAGTACAATCAGAAAATTTTAGAACTGGATGGCACCATTAAGGCCATCTAGTCCAACCTCCTGCCATTCATGTTGTATGTTCATAGTGTCCAAAACGTGGCAGTGGCTCTTCAAAAACACGTCAATCCAAATATGAATCTTCTAATTTAATGATGCAGTATTCTCCAATGGGTGATCCCCAGAAATACTCCAGCTGTATCATTTCAGTTTACTCTATATGCTTTATTTACAGTAGAGTCTCACTTATCCAACTTTCGCTCATCCAACATTCTGTGTTATCCAACGCAGTCTGCCTCCCGCCTGGATCCACAGCTCTTTCAATACATTGCGATGTTTTGGTGCTAAATTAATAAATGCAGTAATTATTATATAACGTTACTATGTATTGGACTGCTTTTTCTGCCAATGTGTTGTAAAACATGATGTTTTGGTGCTTAATTTGTAAAATCATAATATAAACTTTAATAAGCTTTTCTTTAATCCCTCCTTATTATCCAACATTTTCACTTATCCAACGTTCTACCAGCCTGTGTATGTTGGATAAGCAAGACTTTACTGTACTATATATGGCAGTGACTGTCAACATTTAGCATGGCCAATAGTCTGGGATTGTGGGAGCTCCAAAATACCTGGAGAAGCAAAGGCTTGAGAACCAATGACCTGTAGTTTTGAAATCCTCTTATAATGTTGCTTGTTTTGTAGGTCCTGAAAGATCATGATCAAGATTTTCTGGTGGGGAATCAGCTCAGCAGAGCAGATATCCAGTTGCTTGAGGCCATTTTAGCAACAGAAGAGCTGAAAGCTGATGTCCTTGCCAAGTTTCCTCTTTTAAAGGTAAACAACCAGTTTTGGCAAAACATGGAATGGCAACACAGTCACACAGGGTACTGAGTCCCATGTGTTTTTAGACAAGATGGTGTGCAAATCCTGGCTGGGTGGAATCACAAACAGTGGAAAGGGTTTCTGTTCAATGGAGGAAGGGTGGGGAACTCTGGCTCTCCAAATGTCAATTCCCCTAATCCTTTAGATATGTTGGGCAAGGCGTATGAGACCCAAAGTCTAAAACAGTGATAAAATTGAGAAATAAATAAAGCAAATAATCAAATGGGACACAGAATAAATAAGTTAACTGCTATAATCTATGAGCTCATTATATTCCTATACAACTACAGAAAGTACATAGCAAGGTCTAAGACTTGGCCTAACCCCATTTTCAGTTATTGGTCTGCAGCTGCTACAACCAACTGAGCTCTGTTTCCCTGTTGTTTGAAAAGTGGTTGACTGCCACTCTCTTCCCCTCATGTGTGTTCTTTCTCTTGTGCCAGACAGAAACAGAGTCCTTGTTACAACACACACACACACTTTTGCAATGGAGATCACTTGTATGAGTGAGAGTTGGCACCATCAACCAGCCACTGCTCAGAGATTCATTGTCCATTGTGGCAGCTGAATAATACATTGTATTGGGGGGATTCCATGGTCCCTGTCTCCATTAAATAGGGAGATATATAGGGATTGTATACACAGAGCAGTCATAAATGTGCAACTCTAGGTCACACAGAGGACAGAATACTTCTTGCTTTAATCAAAGAAATTAGGACTATTTATCATTAGATAAGGATTTTCTGAAATACTTTTTATTTATGCACTTACTTTTTTATTGTCAAGTTTTAATGCCATTATGCTTTTGAAATGATGAACATTCGGGGACAGAATGTTTTCTTTATGTAAAATTCACGTGTTCCTGAACACTCTTTCTCTCTTTTAGGCTTTTAAAACAAGAATGAGCAACATCCCTAACATTAAGAAATTTCTTCAGCCTGGAAGTCCAAGAAAATCACCTCCTGATGAGAAAACGATTGCAGAAGCAATGAAAATTTTCCACTGAGTTGTTCTGCTGAAGACGGCAGCCAGTCTACTATTGTTGCTTTGAGCATAGTGCAGAAATTCCAATTTCAAACCATTCCAAAGTGATGTCTATGTAAATCCACATAACTGATGCCTCTTCCACATATCCCAGGATATGATACCAGATAATCTTATCCCAGATTATCGGTAAGCGAAGACTTATATAATCCAGTTTAAAGCAGATAATTTCATTAGGAAACTAAATTAATAAGAGAACTGCAATACCGACTAAGGAGAAACTGTCATCATACTGTGTTCCATTAACATGAAATAAAATATTTTACACCATTAGTATTATAGTTATGCTTCTGTTTGCCTGGCATGAAACATATCGGATACACCACAATCACATTGATAGACTTGACCTTCTGATAAAAACTTGCATGAATGTGATTGGAAAAGCTCAGTCTGCTTCCCCACTATCGAGAGGCCAGAAAAGCCATGTCTTAAACACTGTGTTTCTCCTTTTAATGGCTATGGTCAAACCCTATGAATTCCTGGGATTTACAACAGGGGGAAAGGGCATTCTAATTCTCATACAGAGAACTCCAGTTAAGACTCACTGAACTACAGTCCCCAAGATTTCATAGAGTGAAGCCATGGTGGTTACAACTGGAATAACAACAGACATGCAAAAGAAGATTTTAATGAAAAAAATTTCTCATGAGCAGGATCTCAACACATTTTAGGTTTCTTTACAGCAGATGTTCCCTATTTTCTTTGACCAAGGACTACTCTCCAACATTAGTACAAAAAGGGCTACAAATCCGTCTTTGGTCAACTTTAGATTCAGTTTGGTTATTTGGGGCGCTGATTCGAGCACCAGAATCAGTTAACAGAGCCACTCAAAAATGGAAGGAAACTCCGAGTGATGGCTGTTATCCAGACAGACATCCTTCTTACACTGAGACACAGAAAGACACACTGAATACATAAACAAATTTGTGAAGTTTATTTGAACTAGAACAAGGCTTCTCGGATATTAGGAGAGGTTCAGACGCTTAGTGGTTTCAGAAGATTATCAAGCTGTTTCCTTAAAAGATAATGGTTCCTTCCATAGAACTATGTTCACGCACAGCTGAACTAACCAGGCTTTTCAAAACTGCTCAGTCCTCCCTTCCAGAAGCTCCTAATATATAAGCACGTCCCCCTTCTCCTCCTCAGGCTTAACCCAGTCTTTCAAATTACTGCTATCACTGGCGCTCTCTACCTTCTGTAGCTAGGTGCCATGAGATACCCTAAATATGTTGTGGTTCATTCGTTCAGTCGTTTCCGACTCTTCATGACCTCATGGATCAGCCCACATCAGAGCTCCCTGTCGGCCGTCACCACCCCCAGCTTCTTCAGAGTCAATCCAGTCACTTCAAGGATGCCATCCATCCATCTTGCCCTTGGTCAGCCCCTCTTCCTTTTTCCTTCCATTTTCACCAGCATAATTGTCTTCTCTAAGCTTTCCTGTCTCCTCATGATGTGGCTAAATATAGCTGTTAGGAATATCCCACTTGGTGTATCTCAACTGAAGAGGATTCTGTGCCCTTTATTTTCTTCTTAAAGAACTCTTCCACAGGCTACCACCTCATATGTGTAGTTTGGGTGAGAGGCATGTAGAGACTTTTGTTTGGTATGAACAAAGAAAGATGTTTATTTATTTCTTTAGAACAGGCACAGAAGCTTAATGGTTGCAGTAAAACTTGTACAGAGTGTTATGGTTTCAGAAGTAGCTCAGTGCTTGAATTACAGGCTCCAGTCAAAACCACTAAACAGTTCCTTCAATCCAAACAGCCCAATCACCAGGGTCTGTCTCAAACAATAGTTCTTCTTTGAAGTAACTATTATATAACACAAGCTAAACTTCCTTCCTCCCTTTTTAAATCGCAAAACTCCGAACTCCTAATTGACAATAAAATGGCTCCTTTTTTTCTTGCCTCGTCTAAGCTCCGCTCACTTTCTTCCTTCAGGGCTATTGACCAATCAGGTGGTGACACACACCCTCAAGGCTGCCTGTTGGCTCCGCCCCCTCTTGGCTCTGAGCTAAGTTAACGGCTGCTTAGCTTTTGGCTTTTAAGGAACCAAACACCAGCCCTGCACAGTAGGCCAGCATGTTACACTAGGCAACTCTCTCTAACTCCCTCACCAATCAGGCATCACTACAACATAAGGAGCGGGCTGTTCCTTCTTATTTTAGCTTGGAGCAGGCCTTTTCTCCCAGGGCCTAGAAATTTTCCTACACACTAGCCTGGCAAGGTAGGCCCATTCTGTTACAATAGGCCTCAGTATGAGAAGGCCTCGGTGTTAGTTCACCTCAGTGCATGAGAGGTGTCAGTCTGAGAGAGCCCTCAGTGTGAGAAGGCCTCAGTGTTAGTAAGCCTCAGTATGAGAAGGCCTGGTGTGAGAAGCCACCCCAGATTGAAGGCCATTGTGTGTGAAGCTTCAGTGTGAAGGCTGCTGTGTTTAAAGCTACTATGTGAAGCTCCTGTGTAACTTTGGTGTGAGAGGAGGCTCTGCGAGAGCGAAGCTATTTATCTGCATGAGAAAGGAGTACAGCAGGAAAGCAAGAAGTATAAAGAATTTTATTTGTGTTATGGAAACCTTGTTCTTGTAAATAGTGCAACCATAAGGAGGTTTTTATTTATAGGAAAATAATATGGTTGCACTATTTACAAGACTTTAATTTCTTCCTGAACACCATCCCTCCTGGCGTTCAGGAAGAAATTAAAGTCTTGGTTTTGGGACCAGGCTATTGGACAATAAACATAAAACAGCACTTTCACTGAAATGGATTGGCAAGATGATATGTATGAGGATACGGTTTTATGGTTCTATCAGTGGGTTTGTGGACTATTGTTTAAATGACTTATGATAATTTGGTTATAATTAACTGCTATTGTTCTAACTCTGTATGTATTTATGGTTTTATACTGTGTTATTGATTGTGGCATTGAATTGCTGCCTTTGTTAGCCGCTCTGAGTCCCCCCTTGGGGGTTGAGAAGGGCGGGGTAAAAATGCTGTAAATAAATAAATAAATAAATAAATAAATAAATAAATAAATAAATAGCATTGGTCTGTGTGTTTTTGTTCTTTTTATCACTTTTAGCTACTGGTGCTGGTTCACGCTGCTGCTAAGTTATTCTGCTGTACGTTTATGAGGATGGTCTTTTGTTAATAAGCCTACTCACCCAAAAGGGATGGGGGTAGGGTGGGGTGGGGTTGATTATGGGAGCCATTGCATAATTCCCCAACAGAGTAGCAGTCCTTATCTAAAATTATCATCTGTTTACATAGAAATGTAATTTTGATCTAATTTTAATTGTCATAATTTCACTCAAAGGAATTTTGTGGCTTGCAGTAAATGAGATGTATTGTACACTCTGTAGTGGTGAGTGTTAGCGTGCATACTGGCATTGGCTAACAGAAGCATTTATAAGTTCCTCAATCAATTGCAATTATCAGCATTCTTTGGGGTGGTATAGGAGATGGTGTCCCCTCTAGCAAACGGCAACATTTAAGTTTGCTTTTTAGATGTTAAATAAGAAGAATGGTGAAATCTGTGGGTGCAGAATCTGTGGATATGGTTGCTGACATGAGTATTATAGTCTGGAAAGGGGTGAGAGGAAAGGCTTCCCATGGGTGGTGGCAAACAGAATTACCCATTTGCACTGTGGGTGAGAAGGCACACCTCTGTGTTTGCAGAAGGGAGTCTCTCCTTCCGATAAGCAGTTCTCCCCTTGCTCTGAGGCTTTTCTAACTGAGTTGCACAGGTTCGGTGTCTTGGTCAGGAGAAGAACTTGCAGGTCTTTCATCACTTCCAACAGCAGCCTTTGCCAGATGAAGATTGCCTTCCTTGGGAACTTAGGGCTCTGGCAGGAAGAAGCATCTCCAAATTGGATCAAGGGCTTCTCTTGTTATTAACTTTTTTTTTCCTGATTTGCAACCCTAGCAAGAAGAAGCATCTCCAAATTGGACCCAAAGTCTTCTCTTATTGTAAGTTGTAAACTTACAGACCGCTGGTGCTTCCAGATGAAGTTTTCTTAGGGAAACCTAAAACCCGATTTGCAGCCTCATGCCGAGAACTTTGTTTTCCTCCTGAGTTTCCCCTCTCTTCATTTTGTGCTTTTCTTTGTCCCTTTTCTAAGGAGAGAGAGAAATCTGGGGTAATTAAGGGGGATGTGGTGAGTTGGTGATCCTCCTTGCCTTGGAGCTCACTCAACTTGGATTTGGACTACCTTGCTTGCCAGATCTTGGTTGCAGATGGGCCACTGGCTGGCTGACTACCAACAGTTGCAGCTGGGTGACTGGACTTGCAAAGTATCCCAATCTTTGAACTGATTGTCGTGATGTGAGCATTATTTATATACAGGACATTTCTTCCTGGACATCTTTTAGAGGCTAGTAGTAGCTATGGTGATTTGTTGAGAGTTAAGTAAATAAATTTACACAGAAGAAGAATAAATCTTTCAGTCATGAATCCATCAGAGTTACCAATCCCATCTCCAATTCTAATTTTATGTAAAGTTGTCAAATTGGACAGCAATGCACTGCTGGTGTTAATCGAAGCACAGAGTTTCAAACCTACTTAAAAGTTTCTTTTTCCATTTTGCACACTATTCATGAAATCTTTAAAATTGTTAAGAGATTATAAATTTAAGAGGGGTGTGTAAAAAGAAATACATCCAGAATGCCAAGTTGCTAAGGGTGTCTACATTTTGAAAGGGAAATAATGCAGAATTATATGATCTTGATGCAAAGGGAAGATATTATTTTGGAGGTACACTGGTGTTGGTGAGGCAGGGTGGAAACTTTCAAGTGTTGAAGTACTTTTGTAAACTGAAAAACAAGAAGCAGAAGAATTGCCTTGGATTTGAAGCTAGGAAAGGGTCTCCTTGTCTTAAATGTGCAGGTTGGTGGTGGTTGGAAGGCTGTAGTTTGGCCTTGGGCAGCTGGCATGTTGGATGAGTGCTGGCCTATTCTGATAGAAACACTTTTAAAAAAACAAAAGATCGTTATTTTTGAAAGAAAAAGCATTTTAAAATTCTTTGTAGGAAGAGATGGAAGAGAGGGTTCTAGAGCTGAAAGGCTGCAGGAAAAGGGGGATTACGCAACGTTGGGGGGGGGAGTGCGGTGAACTAGGAGTGGTCAACTTTGGGACATACCCTGCCTTGCTTTGACATGAGGCTAAACTGAATAACTGTATTTTTTTCAATTTCAAGATACATTATTTTCTATATAAACACGTCTAAAAATGGGGTGCATTTTAGAATCACAGGTGTATCTTATGTATTTTTGTTGGTATTGGTGATACTGAAATTAGGGAGCATTGTACAAGAAATAGAGTCTTATAATTGAAGAAATACGGTACTCAGTTGAACCTGCAGCAATATAGAGAAGTCCCTGGATGTCATGAAGACAGACAGGACCAGGGCAAGTATATGTTACCCTGCCTGTGTAGACATCATTGTTAACATTATTTAGTAAAGCCGAAGGAAACAGACCAAACCGAATCCATGCACAAGTCTCGTTCATATGTATTGTATGTAATTTGAAATGGAAATGGTTTTCCAAATAGTAACACTGCATATCAGATCATTGTATATCAGACCAGGTATTGAAATCTGTCCTCTTTCTTCAATGTCCCATCTCCCATATGTTACTGTGTTTTATTTTAAAGTGATATTTTTTGTCAAAATAGGGAAGGAAATATTTGGAAACATGGCTGGGAAACCCAAGCTTCATTACTTTAATGGAAGAGGTCGAATGGAAACCATCAGGTGGATGTTATCTGCTGTTGGAGTTGAGGTTTGTTTTCATTCCCCACCCACCAAAAATACAGCATATCACTTTTCAGAATTCCTTTGGATTACTGGATTTTATTGGTTAATTCCTTCACTTTGGGTTGGAAAGCAGCACTTTCATTTCATGCTCAAACTCACCCCTTTACATGGAGATTGAGAGCGTGTGTCAAGTCTCTCCATGTGTTTCCTCCCAAGCTTCAGAGACTTTTTAAAAACAAGATATACTGACATTGGGGTGCAATTTACATTATGAAATATTTCAAATCACTTTCGTTCTTTCTTTTTTGTTTCTTTATTTGCTAGTTTGAAGAACAATTTATCGAGTCAAAGGCAGATCTAGAAAAACTAAAGAAAGGTGTGTATATTGTCTAAACCTTTAATGTGCTTTCTCTTGTGACTAAAACTATATGGGATAAACAAATGTATTTGTGAAAAAAATCCTTTAAGATATTGGGACAGGCATAAAGAATTACAGGTAAATTACTCTATTGTCCCCAACATAGCTCATGACAAAACATGAATTCATGATAATGGAGCAGGAGGAGTCTGTGTGGATTCTCGGTACAATGTCATGTAAAGAACAAACAGGTTCTCTTTCTGAACGTTTTCCCATGTTCTGCATTATGTACCAAATATGTACATGTGGTTTCATGTCAGAACCTGTTGTTGATTGCCTTTAAGTTGGACCCTATAATGGGGTTTTTATTGGTTGTATTATTTGTTAAGAGGGATTTTGCTCCTGCTTTCCTCTGAGGCTGAAGGTATGCAGCTTGCCTAAACTCACCGAATGGGTTTCCATGGCTGAGTAGGGATTCAAATCCTAGTCTCCATGGTTGTAGTTCAACCCTCACAGATTTACACTATGCTGGCTCCTATTCAGAAATAAGAGTGAATATTTTGGCTCTCATGCATTGGTTGTGTAGAAAATAAACTGAATTCTCCCCAATTTCCCCTCCACAAGATGGATTCCTGCTCTTCCAGCAAGTGCCCATGGTGGAAATCGATGGGATGAAGTTGGTGCAGAGCCGAGCCATTCTCAACTACATTGCAGAAAAATATAATCTCTCTGGGAAGGACATCAAGCAGAGGGCACTGTGAGCAACATATCTACATTTAGTAAATGCATGTTTGCTTCTGTTTGCTGTGAAAGATATGAGAAATCTGATTTGCCCTATGCTCTGTTGATAATTTATGAATCAGCACAGTTCAGTTTATTGCCACTGCAAGTTGCAACTGAAAAGTTCTGAATAGAAAACCATTTAGACTGAGACCCCTGCTACACAACTGTATGGCAGTTGACGTAATGTCAAATTTATAATTCTACAGTATGGATACTCTGTAGACCAAAATAAAGAAAAAAGGGTCTTATTCAAGATGGGAGCCTGAGTATTGTGCTTTTCAGTCTTAGAGAGAAAATATTGTGGTATAAATGATTAGGAAGCATCATGAAACATTCTCTCTTTTTTTCACAGAATTGATATGTACAGTGAAGGCGCTTGGGACCTGGGTGAAATGGTCATGCAATTACCCTGGAAATACATTGATCCGAACGAGAGGGAGAAGGAAATAATCATGATCCTTGGGAAAGCGAATGGCAGATATTTCCCAGTTTTTGAAAAGGTAGGAAAATACTGTGCTATGAGAAAAGACGAGTTGCTTAGCTCAAAAATGTTAGTCATTGGTAGTACGGCTATTGGGTATATCTGAGATCTGTAACTGGTGAGAGGAATAAACAGAAGTGGGGGCCCTGCAAGAGAGGTTATATGTATTGGGCCAACCTGCACAACTACCACTATATGGGAAGTCCCAATACGTCAGCCCCATTTTCAGTAGCACTCATGATGCTGCAATGCCCACTGAACAACTGGGCCCATGGGGCTATGGTGGCTTATCTTACACGGGGGACTTGAAGACTTTTAGGCTGAAACTACACTTCCATAGAATCTGGTTTCAGAATGCAGCTGGATTAACTGCATTGAATTGGATTATATTACAGTTAACCTGCATTCTGAAACTGGATGATATTGATGTGGAGTTATTGGAAAATATAGATACTCACAAATCCAGTCTGCAATATAGTAACTCTTTACTACATAGAGAAAAAAAAGATATATATTGTATGCACATTAAAAGCACTGAAATATAGAAAAATCAACTTTCAAACATTTGACTCTTCACACACTTTGGATTCAGTTATGAGAAGCCCCCTTTAGCATGGCCAATGGTCTGACATTGCAGTCCAAAATACCTGGAGAAGCAAAGGCTTGAGAACCAATGACCTGTAGTATTGAAATCCTCTTATAATGTTGCTTGTTCTGTAGGTCCTGAAAGATCATGGACAAGATTTTCTGGTGGGGAATCAACTCAGCAGAGCAGATATCCAGCTGTTTGAGACCACTTTAGCAATAGAAGAGCTGAAGACCGATGTCCTCTCCAAGTTTCCTCTTTTAAAGGTAAACAACCAGTTTTGGAAAGCTATGGAATGGCAACACAGTCATGCAGGGTACTGGGTTAGGGTTAGTGTTTTTAGACACTGGAAGATGGTGTGCAAATCCTGGCTGGGTGGATTCACAAAGCAGCAGAAAAGGTGAGGAATTATCAGTGTCCTTAATTTTTTAGATATGTTAGGCAAGATGTATGAGACACATAAACACACACCATCCTTGCAACGTAGATCACTTGCACGATTGGGGATTGGCACCATCAAGAAGCTGCTGCTCAGAGATTCATTGTCCACTGTGGCAGCTGAATAATACATTGGTGTTGGGGGGATTTCATGGTCTGGATCTCCCTTAAATAGGGAGATATATGGGAATTATTTATTGTCAAATAAGGACTTTCTGAAATACATTTTATTTCTGCATTTACATTTTTTATTGTCAAGTTGTAAAGCCATTATGCTATTGAAATGACGAACATACAGGGACATAATGTTTTCTTTGTGCAAAATTCATGTGTCCCTGAACACACTCTATCTTTTTTAGGCTTTTAAAACAAGAATGAGCAACATTCCTAACATTAAGAAATTTCTTCAGCCTGGTAGTCCAAGAAAACCACCTGTGGATGAGAAAATGGTTGCAGAAGCAATCAAAGTTTTCTACTGAGTTGTTCAGCTGAAGACGGCGGCCAGTCTATTATTGTAACTTTCAGAAAGTGCAGAAATTCCGATTTCAAATTATTCTGAAGGGGTGCAATCATAAGATCTTAATAAATCCACATAACTGAGAAACTGTTATAATACTGTGTGCCATTACACCAAATTGAGACGGGCCATTGTTTTCAAATCATTCAAATRGGCTGCAGTCATACATAGGTCTGGATAAATTCTCATAATTGAATTAGGAAACTAAATTAATAGTACAACTGCAAAACCAACTAAGGAGAAACTACCATCATAGTGTATATCTGTTGAGGCGCTAATGATTGTTATACTGATGTTTAATTGTTTATGTTACAATTGTTTTTAACTGCTATATACTTGTCTTGTGATGTTTTGTATTGATGTTGTTAACCGCTTTGTGTYGCCTGAGGGCTGAGAAAAGCGGTATATAAATAAACAAATAAATAAATAAATATTGTTAAATTAACATGATATTTTATACCATTAGTATTGAAGCTAGGTAAGCATTTGTTTGACTGGTATGAACTTGTCAAATACACCACAATCACATTGATAGACTTGACCTTCTGATAAAAATGTGCATGAATATGACTAGAAAAGGTCAGTATCCTTCTCCACTGTCTAGGGGCCAGGAAAGTTATGCTTGTACATGACTGCGGTTCTACTTTTAATGGCTGTGAAATCCTGGAAATTACAGTAGGCAGAGGGAAGGGGGCATTTTAATTCTCAAACAGAGAACTCAAGTAAACCCTCACTGAATGACAAAGCCCAATAATTTGTAGGGTGAAGCCATGGGAGTTAAAGCAGAATCATAGAAATGACAAGTAAAAGAAGATTTTAATAGACATTTTTTAATGGAGCAGGATCTCAGCACGTTCTAGGCTTCTTTATAGCAAGATACCCTTGTTATTTGAGGCATGAAATTTCATGCTATCCACACCTATTCAGTTTTGGGGAATTTATGTACTGGGGACCAGCAGGTATTCTGTAATATTTACATTTATTGAGGAATGTCTTGCCCCACAGGATTCAATGACTGTAGGGCAGTGGTTCCTAACCTTTTTTTTGACCAGGGACCACTTTGACCAGGGACCACTCTCCAACATTAATCCCCAAAAGGGTAACAAATCAGTTTTTGGTCAACTTTAGATATGGTTTGGGGTGCTGATTCAGAAAATTTCATTGGATAGATCACATCAGCTTTAGTTTCTGATACAGAACATATGCCATGGTCAATGACAGGGAAGGAGTGGCAGATGGTATGAAAGCAGTAGTAATAAAATAAAATAAATACAGTAATCCCTTGCTACTTTGCGGTTCACTTTTTGTGGACTCGCTGTTTCACCGTTTTTCAATAAATATTAATGTAAAATATTTACATTACATTATTTACGTGGTGGTGGAAGGTGAGTGGCTCTGCCTGGCAGCCAATGGGCCTCAGAAAGGGAGGCTGGTGTGTGGACTGGACCTGAGGCATAGCGGAGAAGGCCCACTGGACACGAAGTGCTTCCTACTGCTCTACCGCGGCCCAGAAGTGGCTCTGGAGGCATTTATTGGATGGTAGTTAAGAGTTGCTTGGATTCCAAAGGCCATGTACAACTTGCCTTTGGGAAGCCTCTTTGGGGGGGGGGGGGAATTTTCCTCCTTCCTTGGCAGCACGCGCCCTCAGCCTGCAGGGTGCAGGCATCAGCTAAGGCAGCGGCAGCAATAGAGGTAAGCAGCAGCAGCAGCAGCAAAAGCAAAGGCAGCTCTAGTAGGGAGAGGGAGGAGGAGGAGGAGCAGCCAGGGCCAGCCTCCTTCCCTTCACCTCTCGAGTCCATTTCCTCAGCTCTAGTGACACCGACGCACCAGGCGAGCACAGCAGAGGCAGGTAAGGAAGTGCAAGGGCTAGACAAAGTAGGGATGTTATAAATATAGTGTTCCTACTTCACGGATGTTCACTTTTTGTCGGTGGTCCTGGAATGTAACACTTGCGATAAGTGATGGGACACTGTAAAGAGGAATTAGGCTCATGGGCCAGATTTTCGTCCTCATGACCCACTAGTAGTCCACGGCCCACAGGTTAAGAACCACTGCTGTAGGGCAATAAATGTATCCAGTGTACTTGAAGGAGCTTTCCAAAGTGCTGAAGTTTATCCCATAAACAGGTTCAAAAGAAGGTTAACATTAACAGGAACAGCACCTCAACATTTGCTTCTAAGTTCCTAGAGAAACAGTCCAACTCCCACAAAATACTGTCAGAGAACATATTATTACTATTTTGCCTTCCTCATTCATCTTTTCACCTTACAACTCCTTATTGAGTGCTGAAAGAAGACTGAAGTTACACACTGCCCCTTCTTGGACAAGCTGGAACAATTCTTTGTTGGTGTAATTATGTGCGAATTCCTACTGATGCCAACCCTATTGTGCAGTTGTGTGGGGCTAAGAGTATGTGAAATGGTCGAGCATGTATTTGAACTCCCAGAACTGTAATTCAGCATTCAAACCACTGTTTCCTCAGCATTTCTTAAAAGATCAAGATTAAAGGGGCTGTCCCTGCTATTAGACAAGGTGAACTATCTGTGCTTTTGGGTGTCATGAAAGGACAGGAAATGTTGTTTACTTGATGTATTATTTACCTTTTGACCATTGTTCAATTTTCAGTCCTGGGAATGGGGGTAGACTAGATGTGTGATCTGTAATCCTCAGGTGCCAGGATAACCTAAATATTCCTGGGTATTCTTCACCTTGCTGGGGAAGAGAACTACTTCCCCAGAATACGACTTATTGGAAAATACCAAGTCATTACAGCAGAGGATCATATGCAGCTTGGCTTATTATTTTGAATATTGGGACTGGGTAAATTACAACTCCCATCATAATCTGTCATCTGCTTGTATTCAAAATTGGCCAGGTTGGGTATGCCTGCCAAGGTTGGACTAGGGCCATCATCATTTGGGTTCACACTGCTCTCTGGATGAAGGGTGAACTACAACTCCTGCCGTGGTGGATCAGGACATCTAATCCCCTCCAGTGTTTTCTGTTGGTCATGGGGTCCTGTGTGTTTAATGAGGTGCAGATCTGCCATTGATGACGTTCAGAGAGGGCTGAGGCAGCAGAGGGACCATCCACCTAAAGCGTGGCCTGCATCTCTTCTGCAGTTTCCAGTGCAAACACTGTGCTCCTGTGGTTTGCTGGGTGAACTTTGGCAGAGGACAGGATGGAAGTGTTGAGGAAAACTCACTCTGCTCATCTTCTTTGGAGGAGCCCCCTGTGGCGCAATGGGTTTAACCCTTGTGGCAGCAGGGCTGATGACTGACAGGTCGCAGGTTTGAATCCAGGGAGAGCACAGATGAGCACCCTCTGTCAGCTCCGCCTTCCCATACATGGATATGAGAGAAGCCTCCCACAAGGATGTTGAAACATCAAAACATCCGGGCGTCCCCAGGCAACGTCCTTGCAGAAGGCCAATTCTCTCACACCAGAAGCAACTTGAAATTTCTCAAATTGCTCCTGATACAAAAAAAAAATATTCTATGGAGTCAAAAGCTCTCCTGGGCTGAATAGATAAGGAATAGGAAAGGAAATAACTCAAAACATTCATTTTTTCTCTACCAGCCTCTGGTGGCAACTTGGAAAATTACAAATGTGGACAGACTGAAAACCAATGGCAGGCCTGATATTTGGTGGGTCTAAGAGATGCTAAAGAGGAGATTAAGGATGTCAAATTGCACAAGTATCAGGAGCCTTGGTGTGATAAGTTTTGCCTGGATTGCAAGGAGGATGAGGCAGCTGAAGACAGGGGGTCAAAGAAAGTGGGGGCCAAGGGTAGCTCCCTCATTCTTGCCTCTTCCTTCAGAATCAAGGAAAGGGAAGGAGGCACATTGTCGCTCTCTCTCCTTTTGGCTATGCCAACAAGAGAGGAGTGCTTCAAGTCCATTCTCCCAGGCTGGCTCTTGAACTCCAAGTGCCTGGTCTGTGCTTGAAAGGAAAATGGATAGACAGACAGATGGGAGGAGGTTGCTGAAGCCAGAGGGAGGGAGGAGGTGGACAGCCTCCCTGCAGAGGGTAGGACCATAGCTAGGCCTCAGGGAACATCTGGGACTGTGAGTTGGAAAAGGTGGAGGGGGTCTCCAGAGTACAGAGGTTGCTTCCTGGGATGCTTCTCCCACCCGGTTGGCTGGCTCTCTTGTGCTCTTTGGCACAAGGAGGAGAAGGGGAATGACAAGAAGAAAAAGGAGGAGGCGGAAAAAAATCAGCCTGTCATTGATTGGGATGAGGAAAATAATGGAGACTAAAGTAATTGTGGTRAAGTATTTACCGTATATTCCGGGGTACTAGACAGCTTTTTAGGCATGTAAAACCTTATAAAATTTTGGGGGTCRTCTAGTATGCCRGGTATAAAATAAAAATAATAATAAAATTACTTAACATGGCTGCCTTGGCCTCGRGCTCCCCTCCTCCTCCTCCTCCTCCTCCTCCTCCTCCTCCTCCGCCTTGGCTCATGGCGGCCTCCCGGGCAGGCTCCCCGTCCTTCCTGGCTGCCTTCCTTGCAGAGGCCCAGGCCWYTCCTTTGTTGGAGGMTGGGCCCCTGGGCTGCTTCCCGTGCTGCTCAGGCCACTCTCCTTCTTCCTGTCCATGCGTYACACGAAGTGCCTCTTCTCCCGTGAGACAACGTCTTTCAGGAGAAGAGGCACTTCGTGCTAGGCCTGGACAGGAAGAAGGAGAGCGGCCTGATCAGAAGGGCCTGGTTTGGGGAGTCGTCTTAAACAGTGATTATATCCCCAACTCTAAATTTGGTTGCTAAAATTGGGGGGTCGTCTTATAGCCCCAGTCGTTTTATATACGGTAATTGAATTACATAGTCAACTGAAACAATGTCTTTGGCGGGGGGGGGGGGATTATTGTTGTAGTTTCTTTCAATGTTAATGGAGTAGGTTCACTGGCAAAATGATACAGTGTTTGAAAAATCTATCAAGAATTTGAGATCATACTTTTTTTTTTTACAAGAAACAC